AGGAGTTACACTTGGCCRTGTGAAGTTCTTTAGGTTTGCACAGTCCCACCTCTCCAGCCTGTCTGAATGGCATTCCTTCCTTCCAACACATCAGCCACACCACACAGCTTGGTGTCATTGGCAGACTTGCTGTGGGCTCCCCSCTCCATSSCACTGTTCATGTCACCAACAAAGATACTAAACAGWGCTGGTCGCAAACTTGGTTTCCAYTTGGCTGYTGAGTTATTGACTGCAACTATGAGTGCAACCATCAGCCARTTCCTTATTCAGGAAGTGGTCCATCTGTCCAGTTTAAGGACAAGGATCCTATGRGACAGTGTCAAATGTTTTGCACAAGTCCGGATAGACTATTGRTTGCTCTTCCCTTCACCAGCACTGTAACACTATCATAGAACCCCACCAAATTTGTCAGGCATAGTTTGCTGTAAGTGAAGTCACTCTAGCTCTTACCAATCACCACCTTATTTTCTATGTGCCTTAGCACAGTTTCCAGGARGGTCTGCTCCACAATCTTGCCAGGCACAGAGGTGAGGCTGGCCAGCCTATAGTGCCCCAAGTCTTCCTTTTCTCTCTTTTTGRAAATAGGGGTTATGCTTCCCCTTTTCTGGTCACTGGGACCTTCCCCAGATGGCCACAACTCATCAATGAATGGAGAATGGCTTAGGCACTTCTCTGACAGTTCTTTTGGACTCATGGATGCGTCTCATCAGTTACCACGGACTTGTGCACCTTCAGCTTCTTTAGATGGTCTCAAGCCTGTTTTCTTGTAGCAGGTGGTCCTTCATTCTGCCAGTCCCTGCTGATTTGCCTTTTATAACTCGGGTGGACTGTTTGGAGCACTTCTTGTTGAAGACAGAGTTAAAAACATCATTGAGTACCTCAGCCTTCTCCATACCCACAGTAACCAGGTCTCCTGTTTTCTGTTGGAGAGGGCCCACGTTTTTCCCAGCCTTTTTAGCACCAACTTACCTACGAAGATTTTCTTGTTGCTCTTGACCCCTTGGATTTTTTTTTTTTAATAATGAGTCATTTCATGATGCAGTAAAGGTATGACACCTTGTGGCTTCCAGAGGTGCACCAGCTGCTCTGGTTGTATTTATTTGAATGGATGTTTTGTCTAGCTGTGGGAAACATGGCTGACAAGGGAGATTTTGCCATAGCCACTAGTGGTCAAGTATCTAGGTTAAAAATCTCATATTAAATAGTATRTATGACTTGAAGATTATATCTCTGTGTGTGCTATTGAGGTAGTATTTTCTGTTTCTGATATTCACAGCTCATGAATGAAGTTCAGCAGGTTTAATAGTACATGTTTTTCTGATAGCACATAGGGCATTTATCAATAGTTAATGACTTGATGATAAAATATGTTTAAGAAGTTTAGCCTGTGAAAGCCAGCTCTTGAGGTTTTTGTAGTTACTCATGCAGGTTGGAATATCTGTWACGTGAATAAACTGCAGGAAGGAGTCCTGTGGATTCAGCTGGTTTTCAGTTGTGGATTCAATTTGATTTGACAGCCTAAATCCATTCAGGTTTGTATGAGTTCCAGATCTTGAGATTGGAGTGGTACCATCTTGAGACTGGATGCTAATTACTGAAGTTTCGCTTTCTTTCTTACATGCTTGGACTTTATCTGAACACCTTTATCAAGGCTGATTTGGTTAGGAAATTAACATTTTTTTCTCTAGATATTTATTTTACCATGTTTCTCTCTGCTTCTGAAAATAACAAGCAAGTCTGTTCCTCAGTTTTTGAGAGCTGTGTGCTCTGACTGCTCACCTCTTGGTGAAGGAGATCTCATGTTCTCTTCCATGCATTATACCTGAAGTTGAAGGTTTTCCCTTCATATATCTTGCTTTATTTTCTTTTTAAGTTGCTGATGTTTTGTGAACCTGGCAGTTCCATTTTACCATAGGTCATCCTTCAGACACCCTGGTGGAACAAAAGCATGCACCTTAAATGAGAACGTGACCATCTGGCCTGGAGGTTGACTGATACAAATAACAGTGTAATTCTTGTTTTGGGCCAGTACTTGACCTGAGAAACTGAAGAACTACCTAACCATCTGCATTTTTGACCTGCAAAAAGAAAACCTGGTATGGTGGTTCTTCAGTTSATAATGAAACATGATACGTGTCAGTGCTTTTGCATGGAAAAAAAAACATGACTAGAAATAGGAACCGAAAGCTGGGGCTGTACATTGGAATTGGAAATTTGACATTAGAGTTCTTTTACCAAGCACAGAAATGGATGATTAAGGGCAGTAATGCTTTGCTTTTGATGCCTTCAATGAAAATGTTCACCCAAAATTTAAACAAGGCTTAGAAAAGTACACAGTATTTAATGAAGGTGATCAGATTAGGCAATCCACTGATCCCACTTGCCTTGGGCTGGAATTAGGGAGACATTTCCATCATTGTGGTCTTGTTGCAGTCTTCAGGAAGGGCACAATGAACCTGTGTTCCTGTGTCTTGCTCCTGAGTAAGTGCAGGTACARTTGGTAGCTGTGAGTGCCTGCTGTCTTATTGACATTCCTGACCYTGTCAACTGGTCTCACAGTCAGCAAGAGCAGGAGTGAGATTCCTGGACCTTGAGTATTGGAGGACTGTGTTWCTTCGGTGGACAAAGACTATCAAATGTTGCACAAGTGTTCCCTTTTTCAGGTTGACTAACAGGCCTGGCCATARTTTGCTTTATTAGATACTTTTGCCATTCTCATTTGTCATAGCTGGACACAATCTCAAATAGCTGGAGTATTTTTACTCTCTTTTATTCTTTGGTTATTTAATCTAATTTTCCTGTGAGCTTTCTGCTGTTCCCAGCATCTGTCTTCTTTTTTCCTGAGTGCTTAGTTTTCAATCAGTGGACTCCATCTCCGGTTTTGTTGTGTTACTTTACATCAATTTTTCTGGCTACCTATTCCATCTTTCACCAGCTGTCCCATGCTTCCTCTGTACTTTGCATTGTTGTTGGATCTGCTTTTCTTTGTTTCCTTTCTTCTCTCTCTGTACTTCAGTCTTTTATTACACACTAGACAGACAAGTAGTTTTTTTTTGTTCTGTGCTCCTTGGTATTTATGGAATTTGGTGCAGGAGTCTCTTGTAAGGTGTGCATGATGCAGTCAAATCTCACATTCTGGTAGATCTCCATCTTGACTGGTTTGGCAGAGGGCATGCTACTTGCTGCTGTAGCACTAAAGTGTACCACACATATTAAGAAATAAATAGCACTTTGAAGTCAGGAGTTAAAAGCTTGGCTATTGTATCAGTGAAGCCTCCCACAGGCAGGTTATACTGAGGCCAAGGGAATGAAAAGGGATCCTTGGCTTCTTTCAATACATTCTGTTTTTTAGGACAGRTTTCCCAGTTAAGGGTCTGTTGATGATGTTGATTAGTTGGTAGATAGTTTTCACTTTTGAAATGTATTGTCTGCATTGCTCGTATTAGTAAGCATTTTTAAGATTCAGCAGTATTTGATGGATAGATGAACTTAAAAAATAAAGGGAAAAAATGAGCAGGCAAAATGATGTCGTAAGTARCTTAATTTCTTGATTAATATTACCTTTTGTAGAACAAGTTTTGCCAGTCTTGCAAGATCAGTCTTGCAGTGTTTTGTTTTTGCTGGATTATCTCTTTGAGTTAGAGCCACAGGAAAGTAGAAAGAAGCTCTTTCACTCTCACAATTTAATGCACAGTTCTTGTAATAATTTTTGTTATTTCATGTATGTCAGCTAAAGTTTCACTTTTCATTTCAGCCAAACTGATCTAAAACCCGCGGTTCCCAAATGGACAAGTTCACCTCTTTTTTTCTTACATGGTGATCCTAGTGCTTTACTGATGCTGCAACTGATTTATGGAGGATTTTGTGATACTCTTCTTTTTTTAACTTCAAGTTAATTCTTCTTGATGGCTTTATATATATATATATTTTTTTTTCTTTTTTTTGCAATGGTAGCCTTTCAAGTTCTGAAAGCTTTAAATTTTTTTATTTTTATAAATGTCCAGACTTGTTTATAAGACTGGATAATTGCAAGGGTGAAACTTTTTGGTTAATKTCTTGGCAAATCTAGCTCTCCCCAAGTCTCATTTTCCAGACTAAAAGACAGACTGAAATATTGTACTCATCTGTAGCCCTACAAACATACAGGAGAGCTGCTGACTGCATAGTGTGCAGYTTCTCTTCAAATATAACTCACACACAAGGTGCATCAGTTTGTTGAACTCTCAGGAAATCTCACCTCTGCTTTATCATACGCACTCTCCCACTGTGTATACTTCTGTCATTCAGGACACTGAGGTAGTTGTGAAATCTCCAGGGACAATGGAAATATAGACTCTATTCTAGACATTAATTCTGTTCTTATAGGCGAGATGCTGATGTGCTTATTTAGAAAATAGCATCCTGTTAATATTTGATTCAGAGCTTTAAGATGAAAGCACGTGTGCTCTTAAATTATGTAGAAAAGACTTGTTCCTCTGGTTTGAATTTTAGACCTGCAGATGCTGATTTAAGACCATTCTAAAGCTTTCWATGATAATGAAATACACGTGTAATCAAGTATCCTTGTTAGGTGACCTTTTAGAAAGGGGTATGTTGGGGTGTACAACAAACTCCCTCTTCATTACTGTGTGAGGATGGGGAAGGGGATGGGGAAGGAGAAGCATCTAGTTCAGCAGTTCAGCTAGTGAACTGCTGCAGCAAAGGGTTTTATCATTTCGATGTACCAGAGAGCAGTACAAGTACTAGCTTGAAATAGATCTCAAGGGGACACACAAATAGTTTTAAGGAGAACAACACAACTAATATCGGAAAACACTCCTTTTTACTGTTGAAGATCAAGTCCTTATAAATATGTGTTGCCAGGAGCTAGTAGAAACAATATGTGTAATTGAGATTTAACTGGTTTAGGGCTTCATTATTGGTAAAAGCATCGTAGAACATGACATAAYAGTCAATATGAATGTGGTTGGAAAAAACCCCAATGACTTCTCTTTTTACAGAAAAGCCTGCCATTGCTCCACCTGTCTTTGTATTTCAGAAGGATAAAGCACAGAAGGTAAGGAGATGTTGATACTTCTTTTTGTTTTGTTCTTAGCCCTGACTCCTTCCTTCCATGGTGATCAGCCTTTTGTCTATATTGTTGTGAAGYTGAAGATGGCTGATAGAGCATTAACATTATTAATGGGCATAGGGCAAGCAGGTACTAGAGGGCTAAAAATGAGAAGATGTAAGATAGTTTCACAGTACAGAAGATGGACTGATCTGGGAGAAAAAATATCTGTGAAGGTGTCTCTTGAGCATGTGGCAGAGGAGTGCTGACACTTGAGTTGCATGACAAAGCTGCAAAAATTCTTTTTCTAATAATAGGGTTAAGATAAAGCAAAGAAAACTGGTCTAGATAATTGCTTTTCATCTCAGCATATTTAAATGTTGTATCTTTGGTCAGTAAACTGTGAAATATCTGTTTGTCTTGGGAAATTCTGTTCCCTCATCTCAATATTTTATGGTATTCTGTCTCATTAACAGTAAGAGCTATTAAGATTTATGAGGGAAAAAATCAAGGTTACTTCTGTTTCTGTTGAAGATGGTGGGARCCAAGAGAAGTGTRCAATACACTTTCTGTTGGATCACTGGATTGTTTCCTTATCTGTGGAGTCAGAAATGTTTGAATTGAAATACTGAGCCACTTTTCCATTGRTAGCTTTTCTTTGGTTTGGAACAAGTACCAGACTCAAGCTTTTTACAGGTTCAGTAGACATATTCCTCAGGAGGAACTTGAAATCTTTTCTCACCTTGGAAAGGATTTAAGTCTGCTGTCCTCCTAATATTAGCTAATCAAATTAAATCTGCCAGAGAGTAAGTACTTTCAAGACATTCTTTCAATTACACTTTTTATAATGACTGTTTACATATACTTTGGAATGGAGTGGTAGTGTTTGCACTGCCAATTTGGATAATTTYTCCTTTTAGTAAATAGTTCCCAATCACCGACTGTTTCTTAGACTGTTCTGAAGTTCCTTCTGAGTTGCATCATGGTGAGTGTTCTCTGCAGGTTTTCTTTAGCCTGGCAGTGGTGATCATAGCAGTGTGCAATCCAGGCAGAGAAACATGGTCCTGTGTCCTTTTCTGCTGGCCTGGTCTTTACATGCCAAGATAGCAGTTCTTGTGCTCTCAGGTTCGTTCATGTTGTACCTTTGCTTCTGCACACCTCCAGAGTCCTGCACACTCAATGCCTTTGCCATTAGGCTATGCAGACTCCTGCATCAGTCTGTGAGACACATCTGTTGCATTCTGATAGGTCTCAACAAAATATTTATAAAAATGCATTAATTAAAGGCATAATGTATTTTGGGGCTGACAGAGGATCCAGGGAGGGAGGTCTATGATTTASTCTTCCCATCTGCCTCTGAGGATGSTGAAGTGATGCTGARCAGATAGCTGTRTTCAGGACAGCCTTTACATGGGCACAGACAGAAAGTCTGGCTTTGTTGGGTGGAGGGTCTGTGGGTTCCTGAGCATCTTGAAGGCCACAAGGGTTGGAGAGAAGTTATAAATTGATCTAAATGCCAAGTTGTGATGCTGTCAAGGGTTGCCACTGTCGCTTTGGGCATGGAATAAATCTAGCTTTGCTGGGGAATAGGGCTTGYTCCTTGAAGTAGATCAGAGAGTCTGGTAGTAGCATCTGTCAGCTGCTAATTTTCAGAGTATAACAGACATAAATGCTTATGCTAAACTGTGTATTGTGTGGAGATGTTGGAATTTTTTAAAGGAGAAGAGAGGGGTGATTATTATTTTTAGTAGCATTTATTGTGGTGCAGAGAAGGACTTGTAGAAGCATCCCTGCTGTGGTTCTTGCAGTTTGATTAAATAAACAGCTTGTTGCTTATGCCAGTAGCTKGTTTTTGTAGTATAGATGCAATAGTAATATAGTCAGAACGTGATGCTGTGAGCCATTTAATCTGTGCTGTATGTGTTAGAACCTAGCTTTCAGGCCAGCTTTAATCACCTTAATTAAGGAAAAGTGCCTTAGCTTATATACTAGTTGAAATCTTTTACCGTATTTTCAGAAAGATGTAATAGCTAAGTGTTCCCGTTAAGAGTTAACTCTGTTACTGTTTGTGTAAAAGGTGCCTGGTTAAGTGCATTGCCTGCCTCAAAAGACTATCCTTGTATTAACGTTAACAAGGAACRCCTGTGAACAGAGGAATTTTTTCTAGAGCAATGTTTTAACGAAAATTCAAAAGTAACTTCAAACTAGTTGAATATGAAATTTCTCTATGTAAATTACAATTTTAATTTAGCAAAATGTCTGTCTAGTCAAGTCACTTTTTTCTGTAAGCCATTTTAGTAGAGGCTTTTTAGTGCTGACACAGCAGTCTGACAGTAAGCTGAGGGGGAGAAAAARCACTGTATTGTGTATTCAGTTAAGTGTCTGTGATGGTTATTTATATATTTGCTTAGTGTTTGTCCACATGAACCTGGACATCCTGAGCAGAATTATTTTGTTGCAGCATGTATGGATCCTCTCAGTAGTACGGCTGGGTTGATACAATTCAGTGGTCTTACCTACTTGTCTGGAACAAACAGTGTCTACTATTCAGTGAAACAATGTTCTTTTCCTAGAAATCTTGATTTGAATTTGTGCTTAGAAGGTGTCAGACATCTTCCAAGGGTCAAACGAGCACTGTGAAACACTGGAGGCTTGGGGCAGAGTGGCTGGAAAGCTGCCTGGTGGACACGTAGTGCCTGGTAGTGCTGATCAACATCAATGAGCCCAGGTGGGCAAGCAGGCCAATGGCACCTGGCCTGTACCAGCCACAGAGTGGCCAACAGGACCAGGGCAGTGACCATCCCCTTGTGCTGGGCACTGGTGAGGCCCCACCTCAAATCCTGGCTTCAATTTTAGGCCACTCATGACAAGAAAGACATTGAGGGGATGGAGCATGTCCAGAGAAGGGCAGCAGAGCTGAGGAAGGGTTGGAGCACAAATCTGATGAGGAGCAGCTGAGGGATCTGTGAGGGCTCAGCCTGGAGAAAAGGAGGCTCAGGGGGACCTTCTGGCTCTCTACAACTCCCTGACAGGAGGGGGCAGACAGGTGGGGATCAGTTCTGCTCCCAGGGAACAAGGGATGGAATGAGAGGAAATTATGTCAACTTGCACTGGGGTGAATATCCAACTTAGGTTGGATATTGGGAATTTCTTCACTGAAGGRGCTGTCCAACCTCGGCACAGCTATYCAGGACACTGGTGGAGTCCCTATCCCTTCAAGGATTTAAAAGCTGTGTGGATGTGGCACTTGGGGACATGGGTTAGTGGTGGGCTTAGCCRTGCTGGGGAATGACTGGACTCTGATCTATGGAGGAGTTTTCCAACCTTRACAATTCTATGGTTCTATGATCTTTTTCTCCACTAGGAATTGGAAAATGTTCAGCGTGTTCAAGGACAAAGTTCATACTTTGGAAATCAGTTTGGAAACTAATTTTTTAAAWGCATTTTCCAGCTAAGGATGTATACACTTGAATAAAACATCAGAACTTGCAGTTTGACATGTTTATTTAGAGGGGACAAAACGAGCATGGTGTTCATAATGCTGGCTCTTAATTTTACTTTCAGYAAGGAGGTTTGAGTTGTTTTCTTTTGCAGTTAAAGACAGGATTAGTTTGTCCTTTTTTCAGTTTAGATGTGAATTAATGGTGGATGTCAAGTTGACGGTTTCAAAATTTGAGTAGGTCTRCATTTTCATGGTTTTCATGTCTCCTTAACTCATTGAGAACTGTTTTTACAGAGTTTGAATTAGAGTCTTGCAAATATCTGAGTAGTAGCACTGCTATTCATGTTTCTGACCAGCAGAGTTTCTAGTGCTGACCAGTTGGAAAATTGCATCAGCTTAAAGACTCAAACTGTTGAGATCTGAAAGCAGTGAAGTCTGAACCTTGCTATGTTAGGCATAGAGTATTTCTGTTACTCCATTATCTGTACAAATAATGTATTTATGAACTAAGCTGTGCTTTTCACAGCACTTTTGGAATTAAATATTTAAATTAAYGGATACAACTTAGTTCTGTGCTTAATATTAGACACTTGGTTGGCTTGTGTTTCTGCTTTGAAACTGATTTTAGCTTCTGCCATAAAACATTTCATGACAAGTTTCTGGCTGTAGGTTACTTCAAGTAATCTGAAGTTAACTTTTAACATTTCTGAGGTGAAAGTATTCTGTAATTTTTGGATTGACACATTTTTAAGCAGGTATATTAGCTCAAACCAATTTAATCACTAGGTGTAAAGAAACATTTTGTCTAAAAATGCATTTAAAGTGGTGTCRTTTGTTCTGCAAGTGTGAACTGTGATAATCTGGTCTTCACTGATTGTCATCATGTAGGATCATTATGATCTCCCTAGTGACAAGTATAGGAAAAGGTAGATTCTCCACTCATATATAAAAAAAAATTTGCACTTGAAAATGAGCCTTTGTTTATGATGTAGCTTGTGCCTTGTCCTTTTCCTCCCACCAGCCTGGGTTGGGGTACTGGTAGAATGTAGAAAAGAACACTTTATTTCTAATTTGTTGTATAACTAGTTTTGATCAGTGTACTGCTTTCTATATGTGAATTGRTAGTGGTGATATTTTAAGAATGACTTTGAAAGAATATAAGTTGTGTGATACTTAGATCATGTTCCATACCAAAGTGGTACAAAGAGTTTAAGGGGTAACTTGGTCCTAAATGCAAAGGTCCTGRAGTGAATAAGGGTGTATGTTGTTAAATTGTTCTAGCTGTCATCATGGTCTTAACTATGGAATTTTAAAAATAGGTATGGAGTTGTAAAAGTGATTTAGGTGATTAGAAGATGGCATTCCCAGGTAGCCCRGAGAGCAAAATCATGAGTTTAATTTTTTTTTTTTTAGATGATACGTAAAGTAACGGTTAGTTGAAGTCCTGCTTTGATGCAGTGTTATTTAGAAATGCTTGGGTTTTGGTGGTGACTAGATGACTAGAAAACGTTTTTCATGCTATGGCCATGGTTTCCAGGTTTAGGATGGTGGCAGAGAGSCAGAGAGAGAACTGTGAATGAACTAATTTGTGTATGTAGAGGCAAAGCATTCCCTTTCCCAGTCTGTCTCAGCAYTGTCAGCATGGCTGCCAAGAGGCTTTGTTAGGGTACAACACCATTCAAGTGGGTAAGTCCATAGTATACTTAAAGGGTTAAAATTGGTGCTTAAGAGTTCATAATTGTKAATATATTGCTATACTTAAAAAAGCAGTCATGAAGGTTGTTTTAATTAAAGCAACTGTCATGGAGAGACAGTTGTGCAAGACAAAGCTTGGAGGAATATAGAGAGACTGATAAAGTTGAACATACAAACAAGAGTTGTCCTCTAAGCAGGTAAAAATGTGAAAAGATATACTGAGARTAGTCTTTTTAGGCCACTGGGTAGGGGTGCTAGGGTGGGGGAAATGAGGAAAGAAGTTGCAAATAGCTCAACTTAGAATTGGGAGGAAAAGCTGATCCAAGAGTGCTTGTGCCAGTCTTTATTGAAAAAGAATATTTCCTTGCCTACATTTGGTGATTGTAGTATCATGTGAGTCTTAGCTTTTAAGTAGTCCTTCATGTCTCTCCTTATTTTCTGCAATGCAGAGGAACCCAAATCTCCAAAGAGGCTTAGATGTATTTAGTCTGGGTGYGTTATTTTTAGTTTTAATAAATAGATGTTGCTTGATCTGGCTGAGCAAGGTGAATTTATGTGGGTGGCTTCCTAACACTAGTCATCTCTCTGTTGATCTTTGCCAAAGTGGTTAAGAGACAGGAACAAATTTCTGCCAAGTTCTYCCTCGAACTGTATTTTATAAGGAATGTTTTCTGTGGAGAAGAGGAGGCTCAAGGAGGGACACACTTCTCAGATGAAACATTCCAGCAAAAAGGAAGAGAGTGAACTGTTCACCAGCTCCAAAGAACTTTCAACAAGAGCTTAGATTAGAATTCATGAAGTTCAGAGACTAGGAAAAGCTTTCAATAGTATGCATGACTGAAGATTAAAATTAATTTTAAGAGTTCACAGTTTCCTTTGGATATGCTTTTTTGAGAACAGCTGTACAAACTTCTGCATGGAGCAGTTCTGATTTGATAAATCATCATATCCTTTGTTGGTCTTGTCTTTCATAACTTAAACCACATTTTATTCACAGAATTCTGAAACTTGCAGTAGTTTTTGATTAATATATTTTTTCTAATATAATTTTATAAATTTTATGTATTGGCCATGAAATTYTTATCTTGGATTCAGATATTTCTTCTAGAAGTAGTGATTAGCAATAATTATTCTTTGTTTCTTTAGTGAGTCTCGAAGTACATATTCCAGTCTTGCTTGAGAGAGAAATCAGATTTATGTGTATTTCCACTTTTTAGAATGCTTGACACCAAGTATTTCAAGTACTGAACGAGTTATTAAAATCTGTTGGATGTTTACTTAGCCTACATTAAGATGTTCTAAACCGTGTTGGTAAAAATTACATGCAAAATATTTTGTCATTTCCAGTTTTGTCTAGCMCAAGTGTGTGTTGAATGTTCTCGCCTCCTCTTCATTAATAACAATTTTCTGATCTGTAGCTAGAAGTCAGTGTAGATCTCTGGTAAGGCTCTCTTTTTTTTAATTTATACATATACTGGAGGTGCTATAACCATCTCCAGGTAGCCTTTTCCTGTTGTTCTCCCCAGCTGAAAAGGTAGGGATAGGGTGCAAGACTGCTAGATTTTATTAAATGTTTGGTGATAAACAAAATGTTGCTTTAGCTCTTCTCATAATGTGGGGTTTTAAGTTAGTGTTTGGGTCTGTTATTAACAACTAAATATTGAAGCCAGATAATTTTGACAGTACAAAAATCCAGCATCCTGAATTTTTACCTGACATCCATACTATTATCCCCGGTAAATATATTTTGACTATCTTTAGCCTTAATTACAGTAATTTCTTGCATGATAAAATCTCAGGTATTGCTGGCTTTAGTAATTGCTCCCTTATGAGGACAGGACAAGTGTTACTTGAAGAACTTGGGGCTCTTAAGATGTTGAGTGCTGCTGTTTATTTTTGAGGCTTTTGCTCACTTTCTTGCATGGACGTGGGCAATGATGAGCGTTTTTAGTCTCTCTTTTTTCTACCAAGTGTTTTTGGGAACACGCCAAGGTTGTGTGCTTCTGAATGCCTTCTTTTCCTTACTGCTTGATTTGTCAGATGCTTCACCTTAAGATGCAGGGGAGCTCAGCTCATAGATTGCAGCTGGGAGTGTATCTTTGGTCTGTCTGTTATCAATGGACTATAATTTAGTCCTTAATCACAATGCAGTTGTTTGTGATCAAAGCCTTTTTAACTTTTTCATTCTYCAGACCTGTGCAGAACATGATCATGCTAAATTTTTGTTGTACCAGCAGGGATGTGCAGCATTAAATGATGTGAAAAAATGAAAAGTCCGTGGCAGAAGTTCAKCAAATACAAATCTCATTGGGGTGCGCTAGTTATCCTGCCACCACCCACCCTGAAACAGATTGAAACTCAGTAATTTATGGAAAAAAGCATTGCTCTTACTTTTCAGATAATTCACTATCATGTGAATATGAAAGGATCCTGTGTCTTGTGTGAATGTTAAAATAATTAATTTCTGTGAGAATTTTAGAACCAACCTTGCCTACCTCAAATGTGGGCTGAAGTAATTGTCTATTTAATTTTTATGTCTGAATCTGCAGGTAAAAACTATCAGCTGTCCTTTAGTCCTTGAGAGAGGGAAGGGTTAAACCCCATTAAATCCTGTAGCTGGCAAAATCCTGTTTGCTGGGGACACATGATTTGRGTAACTTTCAAAAAGTGCATTTGCTCAAACTGATGCTTTTTGCAGGGAGTGGAAGCTAATTCTATGAGCAGGTTCCGTGTTGTGTTACACAGTTTCTATGTATTTTAATTGGTGTCTTAGCAACAAGCAGCMGCTCCTTCTGCCATACTGTGAAAACAGTGAAAWTGAAAAATGGATTAACAGATCGTCTGACTAGGACGATCGGTCTCTCATGTTGCAGCCTTGCATTGAAGGGACGTTGTCTTTTCTGCTCACAGTCCCCTGCAGAGCAAAAAGCTTTGTCGGATTCAGGCGAGGAGCCCCAGGGAGAGGTTGAGCCCCCCTACCATGATCTGGGTCACACAGAACCAGCTGGGGAGTGCGACTCTGRGCACCCTGCTCCTGCTGTGGCCTCAGTCAGTGCTACCCTGAGTCCTGCTTCTGAAGCCCAGCTTGCTYCTATTCAACAAGAACTGGCAGGGGTAAGTGTCAACCTACCAAGTACTTCTGCTCAGGGGATTAGAGGAAAAGGTCCCTTCCTCTAGGTGGAATCTGTTTCTGTTCACTGTAGGTAGTGCAAGTCAGTCTGGTTCTTTGATCTCAAGTCTTAGTCCTCTCTAAGCCCTCGTTCCAATTAGAAGAAATTAAATCTGTGAGTCTTCATAGTAGTGGAACTGTAGAAGACATGTCAAGTATTTTAAAACTTAGGGTGTAAACTGTGTTTCTTAARGGTAAGAGCACTTCTAGATGAGTGAGAAAGTGGGTCTATATTTGAGGGATTCACTTCAAGCAGTTAGAGGAGAACTCTGTTCCCTCTTTGATCCATCATGCTGCAGCTTGACAAACTGAGCAGCTAATACTGTGTCTCCACTGGCTGTCTCATGCCAACCTGTAAGGTATTTAACAGATTAAAAGTACCAAGAACCATAGCAGAGTTTTGAATTTGGGTGTTTGGAATGGGGAGGAAATCAGTACCTTGTGGAAAAGCTGTCAGTGCTCATAATTTGATTTTTATACTGGTGATGTAGCAAAATAGTTTCCAATCTTTATTGGATGACCAAATGATTGCTACTGCACAGTCTTTCAGAGCAATTTTAAGTGTTCCGATTCTTTGTGGTTTGTGGACTGTGGTTTTCTTGGCACAGGTGAGTGTTAGTTTTCATTCTGGCATCACACCCTAGGCATGTGCCCATGGCTAGATCTTTGTCTGTTAAGGCTGCTTCACCCACTCCCTTCGCCCTTTTCTTGCACTGGTTAATTTGGGGTTTTTTTTTGCAAAGAATCAGCCATTTCAAGTAAACCCGGTACTGAATGGCTTGTCTTGACAAGGTACAAATAGCTGTAGGTTAAGCACCTCTCAGTGTTCAGACTGTTGCTTGATGACSTGCAGAAATCTTTATATTTCAGTTTCTTTTCTTAAAGTTAAAATTTTCAAGAGTTAGTATTTTAAAATATAGCTGGTAAACGTGTGTGGAAAATCATGCTATGAARAGCCAGTGTCCACAAAGGAGACAAAGGGGTGTCCTGCAACTTTATTCGAATAAAGGAAGAGAGCTCAATGGGGCACATGCCCATGGGGTTTTCTCTTAGTTTCGGATGGGCACTGCCCCCTTTTATCCTAAACTCCTGGCCGCATGTTTTCTTCCTTTCCCTATTGGCTGAGGCACCAGGAAGGTTCACCCTTCCTAAGCCGCCTACCACCTATTCCACCTTGAACCTGTCATTTTCCCCCTAAGTTCAGAAACTCAGGCTTCTGCAAACTCATTGTCTCTTTCAGGAATCAAACTGTGCTCTGTAACAAACTTGCGACTTGAAGTGGAACGAGAAATTAAGATGCATTTCAAAGACATTAACGCCTATACCCTCACCCATGGAATTGTTTGACATGTCACTATCATATATCTTTTCTATCAAACATACTCACAGACTTTTATCTCAGTTGTCTGTYATTTGAAATTGCAGTGTTACTGGAACTATCCAAGAGAACTGTATTAACCAGACTTTTAGGAACACTACAGCAAATGGTTTTCGTTGTCTTGTTCTTATAGAGCAGGAACTCTTACTCCATTTAACCCAGTTCTGAAAGAAATTTAAAATCTGCAAATGTTGGGGATCATTTGCAGAAATTGGTGGTTGTACAGAACATCTGTTTCAGCATCATTCTTGACTCCATTCAATTAAATGTACAGAATTGTATGTGCTCAGTATGGGCATGTAACTGGTATGCACTGGCAAGCATGCTTTAAATTATCCCAGTGTCTTACAGTGACCCATCTTTTATCTTGAAATCTAAGGAATGTTGAAGCATCTTAAGAGCACTTGTACTGGTTTGCTGCAGTGGCAGTTTTCCTGCAGTCTTCCCAGGGCCTGGGAAGATGGACAAATTRAGATGGAAGAAGAGACACTGCATATTTCTTGTTTACTTATTTGTATACMCACAGGCAGATATTTTTGATACATGAATTCAGTGTGACCATAGGTATAGCCCCTTGCAGAGCTGGTGGTCATGTCCTATCTCTTTGCTAACCCACGCCAGCCTCCCACAACATGTGGCCATGCCTGCAAGATTCTGCTGCTTAAGAGGTTCTGGAATAACTTTTAAGCAAATCATGGCAGTTWATAATGCCTAATGTATGTGCAGTGTCTGGACTACAGACTTGCCTTACTGTGCACTGAAGTCCTTTATATATGACTTTTTGCATCTTAAAATGCATTTTCAAACATAAACACTAGACATGTACCCTTAGAGCTTTTCCTGAATTACACTGACCTTATTTGCGTTACCCAAATTCTCCTTTCCTGTCCCTGTTTCTGCTGACTGGTGTGAATAAGCAAAAACGGACATATTTGTTGAAGTTTTGAAGGTCGTCTGTTAGTTTGATGTAACAACTGAGTGAAGAATTAATGTTTGTATTTGRTTAATTACCGTGACTTACACTTTTAAAAAACAGTTGGTAGCCTCTATGAAGGTAATTTCCTTWATTAGAAATGTGTCATAATTGTAGGAGCCTCTATTTAGGCATAATTGTAACTTTACTGTAGCTGGATTTCTGAAAGCTGGGTGCAAAGGGAGTAAGTGAAAAGTGGCTTCTGCTCTTGAGTGAATAAATTCTAGGTTGGATTATACTGTTACCAGTTTAATTACCAGTTTGGTGATGTCTCATCTGCATGTGTGTCCGAAGATCTGAATGGAGATAAATTGAATCACCTTGGTGGTTTCTTACAGGATGAGATGGCYCTGCCTTCTGTTTCCGTTGTGTGGCATACTTGTGTAAAGCACATGTTGTTATAAAGTACAGACTGGGTAYGCTGAGAACAGAGGCCTGAAATGGAGAGGCTGAACTGCTGTTCCTTGTCACGAAATGTAATTTGCTYTTTTTCCAGTCTGTCAGGCTTGTCATGCATATATTCCCATTTTTTGTTTAGTCTACCCAGCTTCCTCCGAAGCCCCACTGGTAAGCAATTCTGGCTACAACGATAACAAACTTTATCATGTGGCTTCATAGAGAAGTGAAGCTTACCTTAATACAGTACATCTGTGTAGCCAAACCCCCATGGAATCTACCTGACATCTATGGGTCCAAAGCTGCATAGCTTTAGTCTCCCAAAACTCTTGGACTAGGAAGCAKGGAAATAACTTGGAGCAGATTCTCTGTTCTGCTTTGCCTTCAATAGGGTACAGAGTTGGTTTTGGATGTTGAAACTTTTTGCCCACTAAACATCRTTATGGTACATTAGTTGTGCTTGTCAGTTACCAATTTACAATTTGGTAACTGATTTGAGGCTTGTGCTATACAGGCTTGACTTTTCTTTGTCTRTGTTACCTGAGCATTGAGAATGAAACACAGATTATTAACATTCTAAATTTTTGACTTTCAGGTGGAAATCACTTGTTTATTTTTAAGGATTTTTCTTTGTAATAGAGATCTGCAGTTCTATTGATGCATTTTTTTTTTACCAAGTGTTTTCTGTTTGCTTTCAGGATTTTTGATAAAAGTTGAAACAAACTGTATATGGGACGCCACTATGTGCTAAGTGCAGTCTTTTCTGAGTTCAGATGCTGGTTGCTGAAATACTTGATATCATGGTTTTCCACTTTAGCCTCATCTTTTAGGAAACTARTGTATGTTGGCAAGGGCAGTGGCTAATAAGACCACCTTCCCCTACCATGGACTGTAGGAAGAGCCATGGATCATCAAATGTGGTGTTAACACTGCTGGGCTGATAGGTGTGTGTGAATGCAGGGGGTTGTGTTCCAGAACTGTCAGTATCTTCTTATTCTTSATGCTAAAGGTTTCAAAAGTACTCAACTGGGATGCTAGTGAGGGAGCTGTACTTTTCTATTAACATAAAACCGAAAAGCTCTTAAAGGTAAATGGATAGGCAAAGTGCAATGTAAGTGAGTTTTTATTAGCATTTTGTGGAATACTGATAGTACAGTATTATCTGGGTTCTAAATGTATGCAGTGCTAGATAGRGAGTTTTGTGCTTTCTGGTATTCTTGCACCCAAAGTATGCCTCAGATGTCAGTCCTGTGCAGAATTATGCAATCCTGTTGTGTGTCTGCCTGCTCTCAGTGCCCAACTGGCTGAACCATGGAGGGAAAAGAGCTTTGGGCCCATGAGTTGCCTTTCCTCCCCTTATCAGSCAAGCTTTGAAGTGAGACTGGGTGAAGGGGAGGTGTCTGTCTGCATGTCCTGGGGAAGGAGTGGGATGAAAGGCTGGTGTTGGACCAGGTAMATGGTCCMATATGTCAAGAGCTGTCTGAAAGGATGGTGTAGCCAAGGTGGGAGTTAGTGTATTCYTCCAGGTAATAAGWGACAGAACAAGAGGAAATGTCCTCAAGCTGCACCTCAAGTTGAACATTTAGATTGGGTATYAGGAAAAGCATGTTCCACAAAAWGGATTGTGCAGTCCTGGAACAGGCTGCCCATGGCAGTGGTGGAGCCATCATCCCTACAGGGATTTGGAAGACATGTGGATGGGGAAATTGCGGATGTGTTTTAGCGTCGGGCATGGCAGTTCTGAGGGATCTCTTAGACTTGGTGATCTTAAAGATCTCGTCAACCTAAGCAATTCAATGATTCTAGGATGTTTTGTAATGAGATGAAGATGGTGACACAGCCCTGATCACCTTCCATAGTTAAAGGAGTCTGTCATGGGGTTATTTTTTGCAGGAGCAAGGGAGATTGTATTWGCTGAGGAGCTGGCAGAGCAGTAGGAGGAAAGAGCCATAGAAATCCTCAGAAAATATGTAAAACCTCTGTTCACAGACTTTTTTAATGTTTGTGATAGTTGATAGCCTGTGATGCTTGCCTTTTTGTTCCTGGCTCTGTGGAAGATGTTAGGAGACTATCCATTGCTAATTCAAATAAAATTACTGTGGTGCTGGTGTGTAGAGCATGCTTTGAAAGACATTCCTCCATTTTGTTGAACGAACTAGCGTCACTTACAGTAATTAGGTAAAGTGCTTTGGAATGAACTCCCAGATAAATGGATATGTTTATGTTGAGTATGAAATGTTACGATATTTTTAAAATCAAACCTATTTTGGAAACTGTAATTTTAAAATTTTCAAGATGTAGAATATGTAATAATTGTTACACAGTCCCTGAAGATGTAAGTGCTTGGGATATGAATTTTCAGGAATCTTATTTGTAAATGAAATATTTTGAATTGATTGTATCTGTATGAAACTCTGTATGCCTACATAGAACTCATAGAAGATAATGCATTGAATGTCTATCATTGACAGTAAAGAAAAAAATCTAACTCATGTTTAAAATATTTGGATCAATCTGAAGAAATTTAAATGTTCATGTGATCTTTGTTTGATCATTGTAATCTGATTTCAGAGATCAGCAGATGGATCAAGTCCAGAAGACGGAGATGGTAAGAGATTTTATTGTAAAATTAAAAGTCTTGAGTGTGTGTCTTGCTGGGATGTTTTGCATTTTCTCTAATCATTTTTTTCTACAGAATCTGATCGAGAGGATGGAAGCTACTGTCCGCCTGTAAAACGTGAGAGAACTTCGTCTTTAACTCAGTTCCCTCCTTCTCAGTCAGGTAAATCTTGCTACACTATTATATATGAGAGGTGGGTGTTCTTACTATACATTCTTTTTCCAGTCATGTAATCAGTCTTATTACTGTCTGCTGTGCTTTGGATTAAGACCACAGCAACCATGTACTCATGTTAGCAAATTTGGTGAAACCCAAAGGAGTTGATAGAAAACATTTTAAGAAGTTATCTGTCTGTAAGGTTATGTCTATTTGTAGCTTCCGCTTTTCCTCTTGTGCTGTTAAATTAATCAGAATTAACCAGAAATCTTCTTGATTTGTTGTGATCAAGTTGCTTCTTTCCAAATTTAAGTGCTACTCTTTTCTTAGTTGCTCTGCTGCAAGGGAACTTTTTCAAGTCTCAGCTCATGTTTGTTTCAGTCCTGTTCTCCCATTCCTTTTAAAATGGAGGGGACACAGTGCATTCCTGAAACAGCTGACAAAAGGAGAGAGAATGACCATAGCCTGTGTGTGTGTGCGTGTGTGTGCACACTCAGGGCAGTGAAATCACTGGGGTAAATTTATGCAGTTCGCATGCATGGGAATGGGCATGTTTGATATTTGTTCACAGGAACAATCTCCATTTGTGCCTTCTCTCCTCACAGATCATATGAAGGTTTTAGCTTCAGTTACTGGTTATTTTAGTTATGTCAGTGTTTGAGGCASATTTGGGGACAGCTACTTTATTTCTGCTATGTTAGTTGAAATAAAGGAGATGAAAACCCTTGAAGAAGAGAACACTAAAAAGAGTTCCTCTCATGCAGCACATTTTGGAGATGTGATTAAAAGGTGAAAGCYTAGTTATTTCGATTTTAATTTTAAAGAAACAAGTGACTATGAAATCTAAAATGTCGTTGCTGATATTTTTTGGGCACAGTATTCCAATTTCATGCACCAGTGCTAGTCAGTGGAAAAAGCCCCTTTTTTACAGGTCTCAGTTTTCTGGTGTGCAGCTCAATGAGTCTCCAGATGCCATCCTGTGAATTGAATAACCAGCGTTGCTGCTGTCTGCTGGCCAACACTCTTAGTAAAGGAATGCACAAAAATAGTGAATATGAGGTTTTGGTCTAGATTTTCTGTTAAATAATAGTATGTGTTTACCCAGGTTCCCTGTAATCACTATTACTTCCATTCTGCAATGTCTTTATTTTATGAGATTACAATCTCTATGTTAACATCTGCTAAGAAGTGAAGGAAAACTATTTACYCAATTCTTTCATGGTTAAATACTGGATGTTCCAGGAGCCCAGCACCCTTTCTCAAGCCACTGCTTAGCTAATGTATTTTGACTGGATATGGTAATTTATTCCCTGATGCCCTTGTTCTCTTCTGATGTGTGTTGTCAAGCAGTGAGAACTTTGATTTGAATTGCAACTTCCATAAAAATCTCTTTGAATATTGTTAACAGTGGCTTTGGTTTCCAGAAAATCTTTCACTTTCCCACCTTTTTTTTTTTTTTGGTAGGGTTATGTTTCTCTCAAAATAGGGAAATTTTACTTACATGAAAACTGTGTCATATTTAAGCTTAAGGCAGACAATAATAAAAAGAGAGAAGGTGGAATTAAAGGAAATAGAAAAAAAATTAAGATTTAATTATAAAAGGCAGTTGCTGYATCTTTTAGTACAATGGTGTTCAGAGATAAGCTTCATTTCTCCTTTCAACATACTTAAGGTTTTTCTACAGCCTTTTAAGAGCCAATAAATAGTGTTATACTTGTTGGAGAAATCTGTCTCCTTCTCTGATTGTCTTATTTATTTTTGTATAAGACCAAAAGTACTACAAGTGCTGGACAGGGCTTCAACCAAAATCCCTATTGCTTGCTTCTTTAGGTCCCAGCAAAGGGTGGAAAAGAAGCATTGTCCTTTGCGTGTTTTTTCAAACATTTTTTCCCTTTTGTTGACTCTTATGCTGCTGAGGTGACATTTGACAGCACTTTGATGTGCTCTCCTCTATTTCTATGGGAGTTTCATCTTTTCAGAGTGGTTCAAACCTAAGTTGCTTCTTGGTGCAGRCAGTGCTGTGTGTCAGAGCCCAGGTGTTTGCTCGTACTCTTCAGCAGGCATGTCATGCCTTTCTGYTCTCTGCAGGGGCCTTTTGAAATGGTATTATACATTTTGCAATGCTATTATATATTTTAATACCACTTCTAATACCTAATTCAGATACAATTCAGATTGGGAATCCCGTATTTATATTCCCAACAAAAAAAAAGATTTGTTCTTTCTCTGTTTCAGGAGACAGTGAAGGGGGTTTATGGACAATGACTTGTCTGCTACTTTGGTTGTAATGTTGTTTTAGTTTAGAAGAAATAAAACCAAAATAAAATTACTAGAAAAGTCATTTTTAGATTGAAGTCTGAGAACAGGTTTATGATACGGAACAACATACACAACTTTCCTTTTGTTTTCTTTTTCCTTGACTGCAGTAACAAAGAACAATGTCTTTATGCCATCAAGCTTCTGTGAACCCTCTACAGGCAATTCTGACTCAGAACCAGGTGAACTTCCTCATTTTTCTGCTTTTTGCTTGAACTGTTGTTAATTTGTCATGATCTAAAGCTCTCTGATACTTCAGAAGTAAGATGCTATCTGTGAGAATGGAAGTGATGATGGTTCTGATCTTACAGTTGTTCTCTTGCTCACTTGCTTCATTGTTTGACTTCTCACTTGCTGGAGGTAATTAAAATAATATCAAAATTGTTTAATGTGATGGGAGTGATGATAGAATACTGCAATATGACCCTTTCCTACTAGCCTCACAATAAAACCTATAGAAAATTTTCATTTATCTACTTTGGAAAATGTTCTTTTATATTGGAAAACAGAACAACCATAACGTATGGTCATGATGATGTTCAGCTACGACCTGTGAGCCCCSTGTTGATGGAACTGCTGATTCTGTTAGTCCCTGTCATTCTGGTTCAGTTGTGTTGGTATCACCTTATTGCACATTAGTATGCTCACAGCCATACACAGTGAAACTGTAAGATGCTGAGTTGTCTTGTTCTGAGAGCAGATATTAAGCCCCTAAAAGGAAAAAAGTATAATTATTCCTTTTACATTCTTAGGAACTCATTTTGTAATGGCTGTAGATTTAAATTTTTTTGAGATTTTGGTATTTTATTTAAAAGCCCTAAGTGTAGTGAGTGTGAGCAAAGGARTTTTTACCTTCATACTACCAAAAAATTAATAAAAGCTAATGGAATTACAAGAAACCAATAATTAAGCTATAAAGTTTAACTTCATTTATGATAATTAGCAGTTAGATACTTGTTAGCATCTGTCATGTTCAGTCATACTTTTGATTGTTCTTTCTTTTAGTTTGATTCTCACTTAAAACCTTTGTTGTCTATATTAAATCCTTCACAGAAGAAGCCCCATTTCTCTGGTGAACACAGTCTTTTTCCTGTTTCTCATKAAAAAAAAATTACATTTTAACTTGTGACAAAATATGTTTGTCTGTGATGTATATTTTCTRTGATGATCATGGAAATTCGTATTTCTTTCTTTCAGAAGAGAATTTATTCTTTAAAAATCTCCTAATAACTTTCAATATTTTTAGAACTTGTGAGTTGCTTACAGTGGGGTAAACATGAGGAATTTTATGACTGAATGGATATTTGTAATATCTTACTGCTTTGTCCTTGTAATTTTGTATTTTGCTTCCAGAGGAAAARAGCAGTGGATTCCGGCTGAAGCCACCAATACTCATCCATGGTCAGGCACCTAGTGCAGGTGAGTTCACTGTTYACTGCAACCATGAAAAGAAACCAGCTCATACATTTTATTTATTCAGTAGTTTGCTCAACCTGCAGTTGTAACTAGAAGGTGTCAAAACCTATGTGTCTGCAGAAAAAAAAAATCTTGTCTTCTCTAGGGTGGTTGTGCCTATATCCACTATATAACGGGTATGGACACATCCATTTTTTGCATTAGATGGGCTGTGCATGTCTGAAGTGCATCTCCCAGCTGTTCCTGCTTAGCAGCCTCTGTTTGTGCTTGGAGTAATCCTGCAGTCTGTGAACAAGATTCCTTTGGTTACTAACTGGAAGGAAAGGGGTGTTCCAGGAGTCCCTTGAGCAATTTCCAGCCATTACAGAGTATTCAGTCTGGGAGCAGTCCAGGGCAGTCTGAACTGTCAGTGAGTGCCCACTTCTGCTCTCCTGGCTTTTGGTGGCAGGTCCTTGATCCTGCCTGTTTTGCRTTACAGAGTTGCCTGTTTACTGATGTAGACCCAACCACTATCAGAAAGACATTAGTGTTGCAGCTCCTTCAGAATTTGAAAAAAATTTGAAAAAAACAAACCCAAAACTATTTAGGTAATGAAAGATATTATTGCATATCTGTATGTAAATTAAGTTCACTTGCAGGAAGAGTGGTAAATGTAGGAAAGGAACAAGCTTTTTTGAGCTTATGGGTATTTGAACTTAGGATAGCTTTATATTCTGATGTCATGCCCTTTATACGGGTGGCCTGAAATGGACCTAATTGCTATGAGTGACTTTTGTTGCAGTAATTTAGTGGATCAAGAGTTCATCTCGACTTTTTTCAGTGAAGAGAACTGAACCTTCTGGACTTGCCATAACCTTCAAGAGTTGATATTAAAATGTTTGGGTTTTTTAAATTAGGTTTTTGAATTAGCTTTTTGAATCATAGCAAAATTAGAGATGTAGTGCTGTGCATCTTACTACAACAAACCAAAGAGGTCAGGTTAATTAAAAAAGCTTAAAGGTTGTTAAATGACACAACACAGCTATTACAGTACCAATATGTTGGTACAGTACCAGTTTGTGTGAATTTTAAAAAAATTGTTAATATTTGGAAATTATTTCATTGAAAAGAGAATAGAAGACTTGGAATGTGTAGTTGAATAAAATGTCAGTCCATAAATAAGAACAGTACACCAGCAATCCTTTCTCTTACAYTTTGTTTTGTATTTCTGGATCAGTAGTAAACTGTCCCTCTGTGCTTTCCTGGATAAGGCAGAGAACATATTTGAAATTGTGCTTTAAGGCTAGGAAATAGTCTTCCCTATTTGAGACTAACTCTATTTTGAGGCTGAGCAAGGGATGGAAAAGAAGGGAGTGAAACCTTTTCTTGTCTGTTTTTGAATTGTGTGTTCTGTTGGAAGCAATTAGATATGATTACATGAAGCTGAATTTTCTGACTTTAAAGCTTTATAGTTCTTGAAAAAGCTTTGCACTTTTAGGTCTCCCTAGCCAGAAACCGAAGGAACAGCAGCGAAGTGTGCTCCGTCCAGCAGTACTACAGGCACCACAGCCAAAAACTTTCTCACAAAGTGGTAAATAAAGCTTTTGCATTCTAAATACATTGAAAAAAAACCAAAAATATTGAATTTTTTTTTAGTATAGTTGTTTGGTTTTACTCAACACCCACCTTGGTTTTTCTAGTTTTCTCCTTTCAGAAAAGAAACATCTTAACTGTACCTCTGTATCTGTATTACATGAGGGATAATGCAGTTGAACCTTCGGGTCTTGTGTAGAATGACTGATGTTGCCTGACTTCTAACTTTGGTGCAATCCATGCTTGAGTTTTGGAATAAAAAAACTTTTAAGGGTACGGTATAGCAATCTCAAATGACAGCATTGACCATGGTGTAATAAGCTATTACAGGTAATTGAGTAACAGTAAAGTACCTAAATTGGTGAGAGGTGCATCTGGGCTTGGTGACCATTTTGGAGTTGGGACTTTGAGGTACAATTTTTATTCTGAATATAGAATTTTAGTTTTTAGGTTGGTCATTCATATAATTCTTATTGTATTGTTATGGAATATGATATAGCTGATAGAAATAGTCATGATTCAAGTCTGGAAGTTAAAGCAAAGAAAACTGTTTAAAGAGTCCCTGTCTCCTAAACCCCATGTTTCCCCAGCCTGATGGCATTTGTTACGTAGAAGTTTAGTTGAACAGAAACAGGAGTAACTTCAGTTAATGGTGAATCTGACATTTCTAGCTTGATTTCTTGACATACCTGCTGACCCAGATCAGACTCTACAGAGAACTTAGTATTGGAGTATAAATTTTCAATGGGAGTTCAGCATGTTAGCAGGTAGATCAGTCTGAAGACAAGTCCTGCTGGCTGTGAACAGTATTAGATTGGGGCAGCATGGTTGCTTGGAGTTGTATGTGTTGAAGTCCTTACAACATTTTTATAGATTAAATTACTTTTTGCTAACTTATGGTTTTCTTCATTTGGGCTTTTGATTCTGCTAAGAATTGCTGAATTGTGGTCCTCATTTCGCTTTCAAAATGCTATGGGCACTTTTTAGTTTACATTGCAATGTTTAATAGACTTAAACCAGGAAGCTGCATGCAATTTGCATAAGAAAACTTTTTTGACAGTCTAAATATCTAGAGAGTTTATGTAATTTTTTTCTTTCCTTTTTGCAGTTCTCAGCAGTGGCACCAATGGTGTAAGTACCCTTCCAGATTCTGTAGCCACATCAGAATCAGCAAGTGATGCAACACTGAAAAGTTCTGACTCTGAGGACAAGGTGAGTTGGAGAAGGGTACCAAGGTGACAGTCCTGAATATTCTCTGAACAGAGTAAAAAGCCAGTGGCAGCACATGAATTCCCAACAGCAAGTGAACAGTGCACGTAATGAGGGGCTGAAAAGCTTCACCTAGGCAGAAAACATCTAAGTGCATCAGAAGTTGGTTATTTGCTATCATGAAAGAATGGTAATGTTCTGTGCAGTGTGTCCCGTCCTTTTCCTTCCCTGCAGGTTTTGAGCTAACCATTAGCTTCTGAAGGTCTTGACTTGATAGCATGAGGAGGATGTTTAGGGACTTTGAGGGTGGGTGGGCTTTTTTGGAAGCTTCATTAGGCAGTTGTTTGTTTTTGTTTTTTATTGCCACATTGAGCATAGAAATAGTTTTGCTAACACAAGAGTATGGAACAGTTTACTTGAAATTCGAATCTCAATCCTTAATATGCAAGCAGAAACACTTGCAGAGTGAATGGCTTTTAAGGTTTAATGAAAGGCTACTGCCACAGCTAAGTAGTGATAGATAAATAAATTGAATGCATGGACCAGTATGAAAACAGGGGGACATGCTTGTAACCCCACTATGTGTGTCATTAGGGACACCCTTGTTCTGCTTTTAACATCCAAAGATGCTCTGAAGTTTTTTAGTCAACTGACCTTGGAGAAGGTTTTCTGGTAGAAGGAAGCTCTTAAATCTGGTTGTGAAGGATTTCAGGAAGCTCAGGATAAATGGTGTAAAGTTTCATGACCGAACATTTGCAATTTTACCAGGGATTGTTGTGAGACCCTCTATTTTCTTGGTATTTGTAGTCAAKTTTGTCTGCCTGAAGCTTTCTTGCACAACTAAAGGCATGTGAGTTCATGCAGTAGTTGTGTTAAATGCTGGAGTCTCTTATATCTGCAGAATATTAGATGGCTTGATGAGGGTGAAAGATTACTTCTGGAATTGTTTYGTATTGGTAATTGTATGTGCAGAGCTGTAGCATAGATTTGGAGTACCATGAAAGTGAGCTTCCTTGTGAAGTAGGTATCTTGCAGTATTATGTGAGCATGGCCTGCCTTTGTTAGAGCAGATGTGAGTCATGGTCTTATTTTACTGGCAGAAAAGATTTTTATTTGATGTCTCTGTCTTGTACTTATACAAGGTAGCAGAGTGGGAATGTTCTCAGTCTGGTGGTTGTCATACCCTGAGCAGCTTTATGGCAACTTSTACCTCTCTGGTCTCTGTCTTGAAAATCCCTGGTAAATTCCAGTAGCCCTAAGCAACATTGTCCTTCGATGGATACAAGCTGCAGCCTTGGATCCAACCTGTCTTGACTGGTAGGAGAGTCTGGTGGCTTAAATTCATCAGATGTGCAAGGAAACTTGATAGCCCTCAGCCTTTTTGGTAGCAGGGAGATGCTGATCCTTATCCAGAAGGAAGAGGACCTACTATGGAAGTCCTAGGTAAATGATTTTCCCTTGTGTTCAACAGAATGCTTCTTTACCCTATGTGTCACTCAGTGGTGGAGGACTATTCCCCATAGTCAACACTGGTCCRTTTCTAACTGCAAGCAGAAAAAGARTGTCTTTGAAATGCCAGAATTAGAATCTGAAGGCAAATGATGCTGGGTTATTCAAAGGTTATGTCCCTTAAATATCAAATGGGATTTGCARAACTCTTGGACCTAATCTAGTGTTGTTTTCCTACTGCTTTTTTTGACCTATGTGATATGTGCAGGAAGTGCCATGGCTGGCACCTGGAGGCAACAATATGGTGCATGAGAAATTAAAAGAAGGAGTTTGAGMAGAGTTGTCTTGTGTTCAATGACAGGTCTGTAACCTCATTGGGATCATGGATACAGGATGTTCACTTGGACAGCTGGAGTATACTGCATTAGGTGCATGATGCAGTAAGGCTTTTAAAGAAATGAAGCAGGAAAGACAGATGGATAGATTCCACCATGMTAAAAGAAGCTGTCTGAATGCAGAGGCTTTGTTTTGAGAGGGCACTGGATTGATCAAGGCTTTATAGACTAAGATCAGAGGGGAGGACAAGAGGGAGATTAAATGAACCTTCACTAGACTTGGACTGATCAAGTAGAGAAAGTAACTAAAGTCCTTGAACTAGAAGTTTCACAGTTACAGGGCTTGGATCTAAAGKAGAACTTTAGTACTTGGGTACCTGTTAAAAAGGCAACATGTCCTGGTAGAAATACTCCAGAATACTCCTGGAGATTTTAGGAATAAGTTGATGTGAGTATTTGCATGTGCTGAGTAGRCTGATGTGGGAGGTATTCAGTTGTACCTGGTATTCACAGCAAAGAACTGGCTAGAAATACAAAGGTTGAGAGTAGCTGTAGTTGCAGCATCAATGGCATGGAGTTTGAGAAGCTGAGGAAACTGATGAAGATAAGTAGCAAAATAAAGATCCAGACTTTGGGAGAGAAGACTTCAGCTTGTTTGAGCTGGTTGACAGGATTCTTAAGGACAGCAGGGCTCATAAGAGTTCATTATCTCCATGGACAGCCACCTCAGAGAATTGTTTATCCCAAAGTGCATGAAATTGTACAAGTGGATTGAGATAAGAACAGTTAAACAGCTGAAACAGAGTAAAATAATAATAATAATAATAATAATAATAATAATAATAATGAAAAGGGGAGAGAGAGATAAATAAAGCACAAAGAAAACAAGTGATGCCCAATACCCAGTTGCTCAGCATCTGCTGATCTGTACTCAGCCTGTCTCCCAGCAGTGAACAGCCCCTCCCAGTTTACATACTSTGCAGGATTTCTCTGACCAGTTTGGGTCAGCTGTCCTGGCTGTGCTCCCCCTCAGCTTCTTGTGCAGCTCCTCAGAGTGTGAGACACTGAGAAGTCCATGACTTGGGGTGAGCACGACTGAGCAACAAMCAAAACATCAGTGTGTGATCAACGTTATATTCATCCTGAATCCAAAATAGTGTTGTATCAGTATTGTACTGGGAAGAGAATGAACTCTTGACAAGGAGCTGGCTGGTGCTGGTGTGAGACCACTACCTGTGCTCAGAGAGTTATGGTACAGTGGAGGGGCCCAGTTACTGGGGCAGAAGAAAACATGGAACACATTTCCAAGAACAGCAAGAAAGAGGTTCCAAAAAGGAGAAATTGCTGAGCTCCTTCTTYTCCCTTTGTGGTGAAGRARGCCTAGGATATGARGCACCTTAAAGGGATTGAGAACAGCCAGCATGGATAWAACAGAGACTAACCTGATGGGTTTTTTACCCTCTGAGATGGTTARCTTTGCAGAGTTCTACTTGTTGATTTTGGCTTTATACAAGATCTTTGTGTAGTCTGAAGYGTCATTGCCATAGCCAAAACAGAGAGTCACAACTGGTTGGGTGGAATTTAAAGTGGGTGAAAAATTGACTGAAGCAGTGAKCTTTGAGACTAGCAGCCAGTGGCTGGAAGTCTGACCAGTGTCAGTCACTAGAGGCACTCCTTTAGGACTGTTGAACAATCTGGACAAGGTGAAATAAATCTTGTACTAGTACACTGTGGGAAGGGAAATGGTCAATATGTTAGAAGGTAGGGGCTGTTTAGCAGGATTTCAGCAGATTGGAAAAATGAGGTGAGAAAAACTAGCTGATGGTCAGCAAATGCAAAATTCTGTACCTGGGGTGARAGAACCCATGTGTCACAGGGACTGAAGAGGGACTGGCTAGAAAGCAGCTGTGCAGGCAAGTCTTGGAGATCTGGATACTGTACGAAAAGTGTTGAGACAACTTCTCAGATACAGAATTAATTAGCAGATCTCTAGCTGATACTTTTGCTTCTAAGGGTGACATTTATTTTATTGTGGAGGAAAGGAAGTAAAAAAGGCAAAGGAAAGGAAAAATTCACATTGGCCTGCCATAAAGACTAGTAATGGGCTCCTTAGAGAGGCATCTTTCTCTTGACTGTCCTCTCCAGTGTAGGAGGTAGTACCCCCTAATACTCTTCCCACAGTAAYTATATAGTTTTCCTCAGAATATGCTCAGACTTCTTGTGGTTTTGGGGTTTTCTTCTGCTTGATACTTTCCTGCTGCTGATGCTGATGGAATGGTGCTTTGCTGAGAGGCAACTGCYGTGTGTGGGTCACTTGTGAGGCTTTGTGTGTGCACAGTGTTGGTTCTTCCCATCAGTGTCAAAAACTSTGGGGTAGGAAGTTAGGACAGAAGCGGGAGGGAGTGATTCCCATGGAGTTGCAATTGCTTTTCAACACTACTCTAATRGTTTTTAAGTGCAAGGCTCTGAATATAGTGAAATACAAACTATAGTATGGGAATAAYTGGGAAAAGTGCCACCACAGCGGGTGCAGGGAGAAGTTACAAAGCCACTTGTGGAAATCAGGTGGCAGATCTACAGACTAGAAAGTCCTTAGCAGAACAAAAAGTTCAGGAACCTTCAGCTCCTGTGCAGCAGTGATGAGCAACAGGTTGAACATGAATAATTAATGTATTCTTTTATTGATTAAGAGGACTTTTGGGCTGCTTTACTAAAACTGCAGCMATTAAGTTCAGGAAAGTGATCCTTCCCTTTTTGTGCCACTGGTGGATGGCATCAGGAGTACCATACATGAAAGACACTTAAAAATCACCAAGGGGACTAGTGGCTGGAGCACAGGATGTGTGAGGAGAGAATGAAAAAGCTCAGTTTGTTCTGCTTTGACTAGGGCATGGGAATTGGATTGTTCCACTCAGCTCTCAAGTGGTAGGTGCTGGCAAGACTAGAATGAAATTAGGAAGTGTCTGTGGAACAGATTGAGAAGCTGCAGGTGTGGTGTGAAGGGGGATTCCAGATGGGTTTTAGGACAAAACTGTCATACCATAATGTAGTTGAACATTGAATCAGACTACCAAAATGTAAAATGTGAAACTGTCACATGTGTATTTTTTTTCTTTTTTGAAACTTGATTAGAGATCTTGGGCAGCCTAATATAATTTTGAAGTTGGTGTTGCTTTGAAAGCAGTTTGGACCAAATGATTTTTAGAAATTCCTTTGAACTTTAACTGTTCTGTGATTTGCTAAGAAAAACACTTAAACAAGAACAGAGACATTATTTGAATACAAAACTTGCCTTGTAGATCTGGAAGTGTTACTGRTTTGTCATTGTAAATGAGGGTGTGACTYACCTTGTCATAAGGTGGTTTTATTAAAAAAACCTCAACTTCTTAGACTATGTTTTTCCATTTCTTTAGGCAGGAGAATGTCAGAAAAAGGAGTCCAACAATACTTCAGATGATGACAGCTGTGAGAAGGCTGAACTAAATGCACAGCAAGCATTTGTATTTGGACAAAACTTAAGAGATAGAGTTAAGGTAAATGTGTTTCTTCTCTTGATGAAGAGTTTCTGAAGTACTGGGAAGCTGCTATATGAAAAGGTTAAAACCTCCATGTATATATGTAAAATTAAAAGCTGTGAACACAATTGAGTTGACTGTTTAATAAAACTAGTCTTCTGACTGTTTAATAAACTAATTCTGTTAAGTAGCAGAAGAAGCTTTTTCAAAAATAAATGCTTTACTYCAATTATAACAGCTAAAGCTCAGGGCAGTGTAGCATCCTCTCTTATCTTTTGCGTTAGAATTAAGTTGAAATGTGGTCCTATGCTCTTATGCAACCAAAACCTCACAGAAATGGTGGAAAAATAGAGCAGCCTGGGCTCAAACTTGTGCATAGAATAACTGAGTTGGAYTGTTAGTACTTCCTGTTGAAGATAGGTTTCCACAAGTTTCCTRGCATAGTAAAAGAAAGTGTAATACTGGGACATAGACTTACATTGTTTTATTTTAGAAAGCATTTGTGAATGGARCTTTGGAAAGAATGACTTGAAAAATTTGTRGTCAGTAATTAAAATTGTTGATATRTACTTGTTCTTTTTCTAGCTAGGAGATGAAGGTGATGAAACTGCTGATGTGCAGAATGCTGGTCTTCTGACATCAGATGTACCTTCTGCAACAAACTATTTTCTACAGTACATCAGTTCCAGGTGAGACTATAGGGAAGCCTATAGGACAGTTCTCCTTACTCTCTATTGAAAATTCTTTTGATTCTGCTCTTTATTGGATGCAGGGCTTAGAYTGGGTCAGTGGGGACCCAGGCTTCTGAAGAATGAGGTGGCAGTCTTCAGATCTGGGKGAATCCTCAATCATCTTGTCAAAGGAAATGCATTTGATACTACTTATTTGACCACATCCTCACCAAAGCCTCTTCAGAAAACCAACAAGCATAAGATGAGAAGTCTTCTCATGAATGATTAGAAACAGTGGTGGATTAAATTGGAGCTACCAGTAGAATCCTGTAGAGATCTGCACTGTTTTTGTGTTGTTCAGTATGTTCTATATATGATATGGATAAAAGRAAGAATAGTAAAAAATCTTTCCATGATAGTAAGCTTTTCAGAGTAGAGGGCCTGTATGAATAAGTAGGAACCTAACTGTGAGAGGTTTTTGAGAGAATTTCTGATCAGGCAATAACATCAGAAGAAATGTGATGTATGGGTAAAGTGAGGCAGCCAGAAGAAAACTGCTAATCCTATGTAGTAATGAGCTCTGAGGTGATAGCCTTCACTTGAGGCTAAGGTAGTGATACTGCTCTGTGAAAATGCTAGCTTAGCAGTGGTCAAAATAATTAAGTAGTGGACAGAATGCATAGAAACCAGAAGATAAAGAGCTGTAAATTCAGGTAATAACTRGAAAAGCACGAGGGAAAATCCCACTAAGACTGATGAAGCAGAGCAACATCTCTGTTCGTGGAGTAAGCTGAAATTCAGTTTGAGGCCATGAAATAATTAAAAAGCCCCAATACGTGCTTGTTTTGTCCTTATATTCTGGATTTTTAAGATCCTGTTGTTTACCATGAAATAGGTAGTAGGCAGTTTTGCTGTCAATGACCTTTTGATGCTGAACTTTTCAGATGATGTACTAGAGAGGTAGAGAACACCTTTGCCCTCTTGATGGTGAGTCAGTGTCTTTCCAAGAGACACAGTCTCTTGTTCAATGAGATTTGGCAGACAATAACTASTAATATGCGGCCTTCAAATACTGGAATTTTTTGTCATATTTTTCAACTCATATGACATCTACTGTCATTTCATTTGAGTCTTTACTTTGGGAGGGCTTATTCATGATGAGTCAATTGCCAGAAACCTATCTTTGGCCTTGTTTTTTAAAAAAAAGATAGTGTCACTAAGGGGAGTTGGCTCTGGTTTTCAGCTGAGATGGCAAAGCCTTATGGTAATCAACTTGTAAAGGGAAGCTCCTCCCTTTTTGTAACACTGTCAATTCTTTAAAAACTGTAAATGTGCTAGTTTGCATGGCAGATACTGGTAGGCCATGGTGAGTTCCCTGTTAACATTTGGAGCTCAGAACTTGGTATTTAATTCCCTTAGTAGGTAAAGCTGTCTTCCACTGAGGATCTCCTCTGTTCTAGGCATCTCCTTATTCAGAAGTAGCAACTCTACATGTACAGTTTAAAGGTTTGTTTGTTTCACTTGAATCATGTAGATATGAGTCCAYATTTTCCAAACTTGGTTAAATGCTAGTATGCTTGGTTCAGAATGGTCTGCCTTTTGTATGTTCACTTTGTGAGCATGTTGGTGTCTTGGAAAGGTATGCCTGATGGGAAGGGACAGGAACAATGACTTGTTAAGTCTTYTGAGTCTGCAAAAGAGTAAAACTGTTGTCCTTCCTAAATAGGATTTAAAATCTGTTAATAAAAATATTAATGGGAGGAGGATACTTATTCTCTAAGGAAGACRTAAAGGCTGAGATTTGATTGTGAAACTTCTTGGAGAGGCTATGGTTTTGCAGCTAGTCTGATAAAAGGCATTACTTATCCCTGCTACCTTTGCTTCAGTTACAATATTGGAAGTGCTTTTGTTTCAGTTCTTTCCCTTGCTGAGAGAATTGACCTCAGAATGTAGTAGTTCTAGTTTGTGCATGTAGAATACTACTTTAAAAAAAGTATGTTATAGTCAATAAGCCCTCACTTAGCATTCAGCATTACTTTGTATGTTATTAGTTAGCTGAAGGGGAAGGTTTTTACAGCGACAAAAATCACTTGTCATTCTGAGAGAATTGTCATTCTGTAAAATCAGAATGTGCTCTTGTGTTAAGTTGAATTAATTTTTATCCATGTTTGTGCTTATTTTTTTAAAGCCAATGACAATCACTCACTGTTTGAGGAATTTTATTAGTGGAAAGTAAGAGATACTATTTTCTTTCTTATAAAACCTCGTTTATTTCTTGGGTTTTTTCAGTGTAGAGAACTCTACAAACAATGCAGATGCATCTAGCAACAAGTTTGTTTTTGGACAGAACATGAGTGAGCGAGTCCTAGTGAGTATCCACTATGTATATATTGTGATTTTGTGAGCAGTTTGTTATGGATTCTCACTCAGGATTTTTGAGAGCCTTTAATTATACTTGTCATTTGAGTATATGGTTTTTTTTTCAGTTGTTTCCCTTGAAGGTAACTTTGAGTGCAGCACAGAAAGTTCATTGTGAACTATTGCCTGCCTAGCAATTCTCTCCAGGATTTCCCTTCCAAACTCYCTCAGTGTAAGGGGATTCGGTGCCCTCTCTGGAGTGCATGTGATTCTTGTGTCCAAGCACTTTATGGCACAGCTTGTTGCTTTAAAWGGCTATTGAAGTATTAGTATTAGAGGGTATTTAATGATTGTCCACAAAAGTGAGAGCTGCTCAGTTACGTGATTACCCCCCAGGATGGGATTTCAAGCCCAGAAGTAAAGCAGCTGCTTCAGGACTGAGGTATGATTCCAGAAATCCTGTTTATGTGTACCARCCTGAGGAATAACTTCTGGTACCTCACTGTTTTCTGCTGTTGTTTTTATTCCTTACTGGAACGAAATGGAAACATTTAATTCTGAGTATTCATACCTGTCTTAACTCCAGTCAACAATGCCATGAGTAGCTGTAACTGAAGTTGACTTGTGTTGTTGAACAAAGCAAGTCAAAAAGCTTCAAAATAAGGATTGAAATTTGGTATCAGYTCAAGGGAAAATAATTTAACCTGGTTTTCAGGTCACACCCCATTCAGTTCCTTGGCTGCAGTAGTAGGATAGCTTTAACTGTGAAAGCATGTTGGTGTGAGATTCTTTTTTTGCCATGTGGTTTACAAATAATGGAGATGCCCTCAGTACTTGGTCACTAGTCCTGTTGAGCAGAATTAGTGTATGTTTTCTCTCTTCTATTTACCTTGTCTTATTTCTGTGATAGAGTCCACCAAAATCAAATGAAGGTAGTACAGAGAGTAATAAGGAGAATGCTGCTACAGAGTCTGGATCTGAATCATCTTCTCAGGAGGCCACGCCAGAGAAAGGTGAGAACCAAAATATTATATTAGGAATAGTAGTTAATCCTTGTTTAAGTTATTGTATTTTTCAATGTCATGTTACTTTTCAAAAACGTAACATTTTAATCTGTCTCCTGTAACCAGAGATGCAGGCTGGGTGTGGAAGTTGCTGAATGCTATAGATCCTYTGATATTAAATGTGTACAGGCTGCACTGTCTTTGGCATGGTCTTTCTTTGGTACTAGTAGAATCTTCAGCAGAATAAAAGTAGAGGGAATTAACAGAGCTGGTAGTTGGACTTGGTAGAGAACATAGGAGAAATGTGGCAAATTTTTTTTAACAATTTTATTTCCAGTGACTGAATTTCTGAGTCAAATGTGTATTGCATTGAGTTGGTGCAGCACATGTTGCTTGAACTTAGAGCTGTTTGCTGGATTCTATGACTTCAAATTGTCAAGATTTTATGAAAATTCTGGGAGCTATGGGTTTTCTTCAGTAAACTGCTTGCAAGCCCAAATGAAAGTGGAAAGTTAATTGTGTTGTCTGTGTGTAGGCACAGCTGTATGGCTGGCAGCAGTATCAGTGCTGCTGGAGCATCTGCAGAAAAGCATGTGGCCATGCAAAGGTTTTGAACTATTGTGTAGGGACARAACTTCCTGGATAACTTCTCTTGTGCTTGKAAAGAAGTATTAAAAGATGAGCTTTAACTTCTGCTTAAAACTTCAGTCCTTTTTTATGTTTTCTATTAAAGTCTGTCTTTATACTTCTCAAAAGGTCTCAATTCTTGTATACTTGTGTGAGACCTTTTTACATCTTATAAAATTACATGCTAATCATTCTCAGACTCTCCAAATGTTGTTCAGCTAATAATATTTCAGAATCACTGGTGGAGTCTGCAGCAGCCTATACTAAAGCAACAGCAAGGAAGTGTTTATTGGCGAAGGTAGAAGTGATTACTGGGGAGGAAGCTGAAAGTAATGTCTTACAGGTAAGAAACAGAGTAGAGGAGCTTTGAGTTTGTGAGGACTCATATGGATGTCTAGTGAATGTATACCATCTGATTCCCTACAATCCTGCCTTCCTCTATGATTGTAATGTATTTTCTTGTGTTAAAATGCAAACTTTAGATATTTATGTCAGATCCTTATTTATTRTCCATTGTTTTTTAGTTTCTTCTTTCTGAATAAATTTTAGTGTATAAGCCAACCAGGTGTGTCTTAGGTATATTTTCCTGAATCCATCACATAGAAACTTCTATCTTCCATGAGACAATTATTTGAAGAAAATTTAAATAAGCTAAATATTTATAAATTCTTTAATTCTTGTACTAGTAAAGATTTTCTAAAACTTGGGATGGTCTATTTATGCCAGCAGTCTGGTTTCTTGCAAAAGACAAACTGTATCACAAACACTCAGGAATTTTGCTTGAGGTATTTGAGTTAGTGATATTGTAGGAGCATATTTGGTCATGACTTAGAATCCTGATTTTAATCATGGTTTATTTAGCATTATAGTTATTCATTAACATTAAATATACTTACTAACTGCAGTATATCCTTAAGAAAAACATGCAGGGTTTTCATATAAAATAAAGTGATATTTCTATTTTTCCCTTCTCTCTTTATCCTCCAATTATAGTTTGGATTTTTTTGAGATATTTTGTTTCTTAGCATTTGAATGGTGGTATTTTCAAGGATAGCTTTTTTATTCTTACAGACATAATGTTCTRTTCTGACACCAAACAGTTGCACTGTCAGTATCTAATGCCTATCAGTTACACTTGTGTTACCTTACAAAATTATAATCTATAATGTTTATCTGCTTGGACTTCTTTTCACCATACATAAATGGTCTTTAAATKGTTCTTCTGGTACTTCTCTGTTTTGATGTAATTCAGAAATGTCTGAATGCTTCACATAATTGAACAAGACACTGAAGAGATAAGAATCCTCTTTCACTTAGGAAAACCACAACTTTTGGCAATTGTATACTTAACAGAGGACTGAGTTGCATGAAAATGTTGTAACTTAACAGACCTCTTACCTAACTYCTGTTCTTTCTTTCCTGTGAAATGTAATGCATTAGAATTCCAAATGGAACTTGTACAGATAGAACTATGTTAATATTGCAGAAACAATATACAGAGTTAGGTGTTTTGGGTTGAAGAAAATGAGAAATGGATGAAATGAATATGGGAGTCTCTTCCACTTAGTGTAWKCACATCTGTGGAGAACTTTAGGGGKGATGATTTTTAGCTACAAAATCTCAGCAGTAACAGTGAAGTTGGATTAGAGAAGGGGATATAGAGGTATTTGGCATGGAAGAAGGGAGCTTGTATGTCAAGGAGCATTCCTACTGTTGGAAAAAATATATACWCGTTTTGAATTTTATAATTAATGAACCTTGCAGGGAGGCAGTAGAAATACCYCACTTATTAATGCCTTTGTGTGGTTCAGGCTTTATGAATTGATGAAGAGCTAACATGTTTGTTCATCCTTTTCTTCCTTAGTAAAGGAAGAATTTTGCTTTGCTTTCATTATATTTGCTGCATCTTTTGAGCAACAAATAACCACCTTCAGTGGTGCAATGTATAACTAAGTGTTTTAAAAGAATTGAGTGATATAAGGCATTCTCTTATGACGTTGTTTCCTATGTRAAAGTTCATAAATTAGCTGAACTTAGAATCTGAAAATTGTTGTTGTTGTTTTGATCTTGAATCCTTTTATCCTTTAAGAATATATAGCTTCTGTTAATAAAACCTTCTGAAAATAGCATATTTTGAGAATTTTTTTGCAAAAGAGAGGATGACTAGTTTGGTTCCCACAGCTATAAACAATTAGTAATTCCAGTATGAAATCTGAATATTTTTTAACAAACTATAGGTGACTAAGAAATATATGATTACTTCAATCAGCCGCTATGCCATAGAGATACTTTCTGTTACAGATTCAGTGCAAGCTGTTTGTATTTGATAAAAGCTCTCAGTCGTGGGTGGAAAGAGGTCGAGGGCTCCTGAGACTCAATGATATGGCCTCAACAGATGATGGAACATTACAGTCTCGACTGGGTAAGAGGAATCAGGGGAAATGAGATACTGGGTGACAGTCATGCTATTTTCATAGGACTCTTCTTTGGCACACAGCAACATTCACTTTTGTTTGTCTTACCTACTGCAACTCAGAGGTAGTTTGGGCCTTTTCTTTTGCTTCAATTAGTGAATGTTGCTGCCAARGAGAGTATTTTTTCATACCCTTCTATTGTGGCAAATGTTCCAGTTACTTTTTCCCACCCCCATAAAAGCAAGCCATGTTAAGTCAAGTCAAGTAACTATTCTAGTAACTAGAATATTTGACTAGAAATTTATGGCAACATCATTCAGATCTGACTGTTTTGGGTGGGTTGCTTGTGGTGGGGGAAGGATGTTTGAATAGTACACAATTGTTCAGGCTGGCAGGAATGTGCATTAGCCTGAGATTATTAGCTCAGATGCAACTGCTGAACTTTGATGTATTAATATGTAAGACTTCAGTTGAAACAGCTTTAGATAGGACTCCTAATATTTACTAGCCTTGTTGCAGTTTAAGCCCAGCCAGTAGCCAAGCCCCTTGGAGCTGCTTGCTCACTCCCCCTCCAGCAGAATCGGGGAGGGGATTGGAAGTGTTTAAGAGTTAGAAAACTTGTGGGTTGAGATAAAGACAGTTCAACAAAGAAAGCAAGAGTAGTGCATGCAAACARARCAAAACAAGAMATTMATGCATTGGTTCCCATGGGCAAGTGGGTGTTCATCCATCTCCAGGACAGCAGAGCCCATCATGTGTAATGGTGACTTGGGAGGACAAAGGCCATCCCTYCAAACATCCCTCCCTTCCTCTTCTTCCCCCTACTTTATATCCTAAGCATGATTTCATATGATCTGCTCCCTTTGGTCAGTTTGGGTCACCTGTCCCAGTTTTGTCTCCTTCCCACTTCCCATGCACTTCCAGCCTCTTCACCAGTGCAGTAGTACAAAACACAGAAAAGGYCTTGGCTCTGTGCAAGCACTGCTCAGCAATAACAAAAACACCTCTATATTATCAACTGTATGTTCAGCACAAATCCAGAACACAGCCCCATACCAGTGAAGAAGAAAGTTAACTCTTTCTGGGAAGAAAGTTAACTCTAACTGGGAAGAAAGTTAACTCTGCCCCACCCAAAAGCACCACAAGCCTACATTCTTCTCATTTACAGTTGTGACAAAAGCCCAAAAGTGCTTATTTGTAAAGAGACTGAAACCTTTATGCACTAAAAAGGTGTCTTTACTGTTTTGAGCTTCCTAATGTGTCTTTTTCCACCTAACTGATCTTGTAACTTGGCTTTAGTGATGAGGACTCAGGGGAGTCTCAGGTTAATCTTAAATACCAAGCTCTGGGCTCAGATGCAGATCGATAAAGCCAGTGAGAAGAGCATTCGGATCACTGCCATGGATACAGAGGACCAGGGAGTTAAAGTTTTTCTTATATCAGTGAGTACTGTTTTTTGTTTATGTCTTAACCTTCCTATTAAAGTTGGTGCTTGCTTAAACTGTAGTTGAGATAGCATTCCCATTTTATTTGCTCCCTACACTGTCTTAACATCATGTCTGCCCCAAAGACAAGGCGCTTGGCAGATTTGCTTGGTGAAAAAGTCTTGCTGGTTGTGAACAAATTCCACATCAAGGGCTGCCCTAGGAAGCCAGGTTGCCCAAAGCACTGCTTATGGAGTCATGGGATCTGTTCYACTCATTGAGACTCTTAATTATAGTGATAATGCAGATTGTTTTCTGATATTAAGAAAAATGGCTTTTATAGTTATTATGCAATAGCTTAACCAGAATTAGATCTGCTGTTAACTTTCAGCACGGGAAAGCTGTCAGTCTGCATTGCAGGAGGATGGATAGATGCCCACTGAAAGGGAAACATTCAAACTCTGTCTAGAACATTATATTAGTACTTAAAGGTTGCACATTTTAACTTCAATTTTGTTTTGATACAGTGTGTTCAAAGTGCTAACCGGATAGTGAAAGTGATTTCTGTGCTTGCTAAATGGGGAATGGCCCCAATCAGAATTACTAAAACACTCAGGATATCATACAGTCAGCAAGGAAGAAAAGTCATTCCCTAATGTCTGCTAAAGCACTTACAGATTTGGAGAGGTCCAAACACATTCTTTTGATTTACACTGATTCTGCACAAGATGTTGCTGAAGAATTGGTGTTCCTGGGGATCTGAAATTGAGTACATCAACAAATGGTCAGCTTTCCCTGTGACATTAGGATTGTAGGGCTGGGATCTGGAGTCCCAGAATGGAACTTAATGATATCAAATATGATGAAGAAAAATAAGTGAAATTAATGGATAAGTCTTTCTCAGTATTTTTCTAGATTTGAAAGTTTGAGTTAATCTGTCATCAGGTTATTCACTCTTGATTTTAGTATTGATAAAAAGTATCTTGTTTGGAATTATTTTTTCATTACAGCTCATTTCAGGGGAATTTTGCAGATACCGAGGTGGCAGATTCAAGTGTCAGATGGGGCAGATGGAAACTTTTTTATGCAAGAGTGAGAAGGGGGATTGTTACCTTACAGTTAACTTGGTGTAAAGTTAATAGTTAATACAAGGATTTAATTGACATAGTAAAGGCAGTTTTGTAGTATTTGAAGGGAGTTTCCTTCTGGATAATGTCCATTAAATATTTACTTTGATAGGCCTAATAATTGATTGGCTTGAAGGYACAAAGTGCCCATTAACCTCTGAGAGTTAAAAATATATGTATCTTTGACAGGTTGTCAAAAATCCTTCCCTCTGAAACAGAGACTGTTGAAAAAAAATGGAATCATTGCCTTGCCTGACTGTCCATTCAGTTTTCTCATTATATCTTATATTGAAATTTTATGCCAGTGCACCATGAAACAATCATGTGACTTGATKACAATTAACTAACATGTGAAGTTGAATGATTGACAGGTCAGCAATAATCTGCAAGATTTTAATTTAAGACCTTTTTAATATGAGYTTTTGGGAGGTGTCAGGAAAGCTATGTGATTTCTGGGTGAAGAAGGCTGTATGAAATCAGCTAGTTCTGGGTATGTTAGCCAGAGAAAGTTGGAGCTAAGCAGAGGAGTATACTSTCACCACCAGAGTTCAGTTTATCTAGTCCTGTACCACAGCCCATTCTGACTGATTTAAAAAACACTGTATGAGAAGACTGAACAGWATATTGTGAAATTTGGCATGACTGGTGTGTATTACGTGAGCAGTGTTTTATTGTGTTCTAATTCCTTGCACCTGTTTCTTATTTCTGAATATTAAAAAATGCAGGCAAGYTCTAAAGATACAGGGCAATTGTATGCTGCATTGCACCATCGGATCTTGGCCTTGMGGAGTAGAGTGGAACAAGAGCAAGAAGTCAAGAATGTAGCACCTGAGCCAGAAGTAACACAGTCAAATGAGGAAGACAGTGACGATGATGTCATTGCACCTTCAGGATCAGTTGGAAGTRGTAAGTAAGAAGGACAATGGTATTTTCTGTTTTCCATGCAGTTTTTTATGTCATTTCTTAAGGCAGAATGTGCTGTTTGTGTATGKCTGTGGAGTAGGACTATTGCATGGATTGCCTTTATGAATACAACTACTTCTTGTTTCTTCTCCAAACTGGTAAAAGCCCCYTGTGCTGCCTCTGAGTTACATTGCCACAGTTTAGCAGAAGTTTTCTGTGCTTTTTATCATTTACTRTATTTATAAGGATGGTTGTGAGTTTCATTTTTGCCTTCATCATAGCTAAGAGTTGCACATAAAACCTGAGATTATTCAGGATCAGTAGACAGCATCCAGWCTGACCTTTGAGTAGAGAACTGTTGGGAAAGCAGGTTTACAAACGGGCATAGAAGGAGTGTAATGTGTATGAGGAGACCATGATTTAAGAAAAATACTAGTCTTCAGTTTGAGGAAGGCTTCCTGTTGTACTCTCAACTTGGAAGTCATCTGTGCTTTGCTTTCTTGTGGCTGGGAACATCCAGCCTTTGACAGTCCTCCATCCTGATTCACAGAAGGGGGGGAAAAAAGTGGAATGAATATGAACAAAAGCAGTGGGAAGATTGAAGAGGTTGGAAACTGAGTTTTTAGGCTCCGGGATGCTACTGGGATCCCTGAASCAGATTAGTCAAGTACATAAAATTTTACAATAGAGAGACCTATTGTATGGAAATAGAAAAGAAATATGCAGGAAAAGAAATATGCAGGGGAGGGGAGGAGAAATTTTACTGTTCTTATCTCTCATGGAACACCCGTATCTGAGACTTCTGTAGGCTGCTTGGGATAGGTCTCTTACTGCAAGGCAAGAAACAAAAGATATTTCTTATGACCAAGAACTGCTTTTATTGTTTCAGGTCCTAATGATGAAGGTGACGGGCAGAACGTTGGCAGCACATAGCAGATGTGAGCCCATCTGCTTGCAAGGCTGCTATGAACACCATCTTGCAGGCATCTCTGGATACCCCAGGCCAGCAATTATTTCAGGCAGTGTTGAAAGCTCTAGGACTTAAGAACTGTGCATCTCTGTTCTATTTGTTTGGTTTTTTGGTCTGGATCAGTAGATTCCACACAAGAAAAAAGCAGACTTGGAAACTACCTGAATGTGGTTTGGGATGTTGAAAGCTCATCATATTGATGAGCAAAAAAAAAAAAAAATACAACCCCAAAACAAACAACAAAAACACAAAATGCAACCAATCCCCAACCATTTCCCCTCTTCCTTGTAATTAAAATGGCACATTACAGCTTGTCACAGCTTTTCATTGGGACCTTTTGGCTGTTTCTTCAGTAGTTCGTGTCTTGCAGGTCTCCGAGATAGAACTTTCCGACACGGTTCCGACTCAAATTCTGCTTTTGTAATCCCTACTCCCCGTTATGCAGGGAAACCCTGTCCTAACCAGTTCCTATGCTCACTGGCTGCCCTTTTGGGTTCCTTTTTTTTTTTATTTTTTTGACTGCAGATGGGGCAGGTAATGTTTTAACCTTTTAATTTCAACATAGGTTGTGGATGTGAATACCATTGTTTGCTGTCTAGTGGGTTTGTAAACAGAAAGAAACAAAACATTGTGGTTCACCAGAAAAGATTTTTTAATGCGGTAATAAGAGACTTTAAAGTTTGCAGGACATTTTGCTAACTCCTTTTTTTCTTCCCATTTCATTATTTTTTTGGGGGGGATTTATATTGTGGTGATACTTTTTTATTTTAGTTTTTCAATAAGATGCTCTTGTGTGTTGAAAAAGTGAAACTATTGTTTTGTACTGTTCTTTTCTGTTACTATTTAAGGGAGAGCTAAGCCACTATATATAATAGATGTTACATACAATTTTTCTTAGAAAATTTTATGTTTCTGTGGCTAGAGTAAAGTGCAGGAGGCATATAGGTTACACCTTCAGAAAAGTTAATGATGAAACAGCTGTTAGCCCTTGGAAAAATAAAATAGGCTCATGTAATGAGCYCTGCCAGCCATTAAAATAAATATGTATAATAAAGCAGCTCTCATTTAATGGCTTGATTCAACAAGCCATTTAAGCACTTGCCTGACTTAACTATATGTGAATAATCTTACTGAAGTCAATGCAACTCTTCATGCTTAAAGTTGAGGACATTTTTAAATACCTTGCTGAAGTAATGGCCTTAAATAGAAAATTTAACTTCTAACCCTTCCTGTCCCCCTTCTATTTCCTGAAGCATGAAGAAAAACATAATACTGCCAGCCTTCAGTAGTTTGGGCTGAAGGTTATTGTATTCTGTTCCACCACAAATAAAAGCAAGAATGTGTAATTCTGTGTGTAATTCTGAAGTACTCCTACTGGAACCATAACTCAACTTTTTTTTTTTGCTTTTGGTGTTTTTTTAATCATTTCAGCTTTTTGTGTGGAAGTTTGAATTTTATTTTCTTATTAAAACATATGGTATGTTCTTGTCCAGAAAAATTGGAATTTGGTAGTCACCAGGAACAGTGACCAGTCACTTTCATTATAAATTCCCCAAATTGCTCTATTTGCATTATAAATAGTTTGCTGATAATTTCTGACTTGCATGCTTGCTCTTTTATAGGTTAAAGATCTAAAATGTATCACCTAAAGGAAAATGAAAGGGGAAGAAGCATTTGATGTAGCATAAATTGAAAACAGAAACCCAAATTATAGCACAAAATCAACTTTAAAATAGAGTATTCAAATAGCAAAACAGTCCTTATTGCCTCTACTTTAATGAAACACACTTTTCTCTGGCAGTCAAGAACAAGTCTTCCCATTTTCTGTTGTTAACCATCATTGAAGACTGATGCTGTTGGGGCAGCAGGTGCTTTTACTTTTCCTGATAGCCAGTTGAAGGAACAGCTGTGATTACTTTTCTGGGAATTGAAAAGGGCTAATGATAAGCTGTGCCGCTGCATCTTGACTTCTCTGGATTATCTGCTCATGTCTTCTTGCATTTTGGTTTTCTTTTTGCCTCTTTAGAGTTATGGGGGGTTTTAGGAATGAACAGATCTGTTGTTGCATCCCTCTACTCATGCCATGCTTCAACAGGAACATGYCATGTTCCTTAGTACCTGCCACACAGTTGTTTCTGCATCACAAGGTCTGGGGACTTTCAAGTAAGTGATCTGCATTTTGGGTCTGGGATCCTTTTACATTGTTGACATACTCAGATTTAAACTACTCTTTTCAAACACCCTTGCACCATAAAGCTGTTTCTTGTCAGCAGCTTGTTCACAAGGAAAATTAGTAAGGTGTTTTGGCCAGGCAGAGCCTACTTCTGGGAAAAAAAAGGCATTATTTCCTGGTCCCAGACTTTATGAGGTCTAAGCTTAGTCTTGTTTTGAAGTGTTTTACCTAAAATGCCATTGACAGTGCATGAGGATTCAGAAAAATGGAATAAGCATGCTTGCTTTGGGGTTTGGYGGTACAAAATCACCTACAGCTTTCTAAAAAATTTGGCAACTATTTACTGATGCAGATTTTATTTTAGCTAGAAGCTTTGCATCARTGTTTATAGTGAAGGCAGAAGTGTTGCTGTGCATTGGGACAGAATTGACCATGGGTTGAGTTCAGGYCCTGCCCAGTAAGATATAGTTAGGCCAAAGCAAAACCCTGACTTAGCTCTCTGCTAAACCAGTGATAGGCAAAACTAGATAATGCCCATGTGTCCCAAAAGATCTGTGAAAGACAGTCATATCAAAATGTACATGGGAATGACATTAAAACCGGTGTCAGCAAGCAAACAAACAAAACACCCTGAGCCCTGTGTTGTGTTTCCTGTACCAGGCAGTGGCTGTTCTTAGAGAGGATTATGGTAACCAACTCTGCTGCCTTACAGCACTCTTCTCCCTTGATCATGCTTCTGCTCCATCTGTCCCCATAGGCCTCTTAACTTYTGTGTGGTGTTGACACACCAATTCCTGTATATAGCCTGTGTGGCTGCTGACCCACACAACGTTTCAGGTTTTCCAGGGGAAAAGAAAGTACTGAAGAGTGTAGTAGAGTTGAACATGCTTGATGATGAGGCAACTCTGGCAGCCAGGAGGGCAACCATGCATTGCAGGGACATCAAGCACAGTTAGTCAGGGGAGGCTATTGTGTCTCTGCTCTGCACTCAGGCAGCCTCATCTTGAGTTCTGAGGGCAGTTTTGGGCACCATAGTATATAAAAACATTAACCTAACAGAGAGGCTCCAAATAAGGCCACAAGGATTGGGAAGGGTTGAGAGGGGAAGCCTTATGAGGAGCTGCTGAGGGGACTTGGTTTGTTCAGCCTGGAGAAGGGAGACTGAGGGGTGACCTCAATGCAGTCTTCAGCCTCCCCATGAGGGGAAACTGAGGGGCAGACACCAATCTCTACACTCTTGTGACCAGTGATGGAGCTTGAAGAAACAGCATGAAGCTGAGTCAGGGCAGATTTAGCTTGGATACCAGGAAGTTTTCCACCCAGAGGGCAGTGGTTCATCAGGGCAGTGGTCACAGTCCCAAGGCTGAGTTCAAGAAGCATTTGGACAATGTTCTCAGYTGCAKTGTGGGATTGTTGGGGTGTCCTAAGCAGGACCAGGAGYTGGACTTCATCCTGATGGGTTCCTTCCAATTCAGTGTGCTTTATGTTTCTACAAAAATGTTGCTAGAATGGTGATGTCACTGAAACCAGAAGTAAGCCTCTTATCCATAAAGTGAAAAATAAGATTACACCCACAGGAAATACAAACATTAAGGTAAGAGAATGTTGTAATTACATCTTTCTGTAGTCCAGTTCCCAGTGCATAATGCATTGCTTTAGAGAGGACAGGCAGGCAATGATCTAAATAAATGAGTCCTCAGCCATCCTTCACTAGAACTAAGGTGGGAAGTAACCAGATTGTTAGAAGCCTCCAGGAATAAAAAAAAAAATCCTCAAATTTTTGTAATGGCTGCTCTCTGTTCCCTGAGGCATCAGTTGATGCCATTAACTGACTGTTCCTAACATGTCCCATTCTGCAGTTCAACTGGTCTCTTTCTCTCCCAGTGAGTGTAGAAAACGGTTTATTTCCTTTTTAGAAACATGTTACATATTTGAAAATTTTCCATGTTTCCCATAATCATCTCTAGTTTTAGGAATTCCAGTTATGATAATTGCCATAAATTGTCATACAAGATTTCATTAAACTGACTTTTCACTGTGTGCTTTTTCTCCCCGTGTTATTTGATCTTTCTGTGCATTGACTTGCTTAAACTGAACTCTAGCCCATTATAGGGGTAGCGGGTATTTAGACAGGATGTTATAATGATATTTCAGGGTTTTTTTAAAAAGGTTTCTTTTTTCCCTCCTTTGAAAATCAGCACAGAGCAGGTGCAAGAGAGAATTGCTAMATTAGACAAAGTCGGTCTTGATTATTTTCTGCTAGGTGAAAGTACAGGTATCTCATTAAGAAATGCTTACAGATGAATTCTGTAAATAAAAGTCWCATTCAAAGATAGTATTGAGATCTCCCTTTTAACTACCTTCTTTCAAGGACTCCTTTCCAGAACTCTTCCTTTTGTAAAGACACACAAGCTGAATTTGTCACTGAGAACACTTTTATTTCTGTTGCCCACTGGGGTGGGCAGTGAATGCCTTCTCCAAGGTGATCTGAATTGAAAGTGGGGTTATTTTAAATGAACCACCCCTGGGCGAATTTCCGTAGGTYACTTTCAGCTTCTGATGAAACTGGAGAAGTTGAGTGGTGATGTTACRTTTGATGTCCTCCTCCTGCTCCAGAGACCAGGAGGTGTCATGGAGCCCCCAGTGTCCTCTGAAAAGCAGCTTGCTGTTTGTAGTCCATTTAGCAGACAAGATAAATTCCTGTTCTGGAGAATGCAACTTCTGCTGCAGGCAGGAGATCTATTAGACAAGCTCTTACAAAAGAGAGGGAAGGGTGAGGAATGTTTCATTGCAGTTTACTGATGGATGATTCTGCCATTTCTGAAAACCTTTTGGAGATAGAAGGAGCCCCAATTATTTGCAGCTTGTAGTACTATGGCTATTTAAGGCCCCTCCCCATATTTAAGGGAACTAATATTCTGTATCAGCAGTAAAAATATTTTGAACCAAGTTAATGTTTTAACAGTAATGTTACATTAATAATGTGTTGCTTTCCCTGGAACTTGCCTGTTTCTAGTAAGGTCCCTCCTACTGTAAACAGCTCTGAATAGCGTTTACTGCTTCAGGAGAGTCTGCAGCCCAAGGATGGGTTTCTGCTGAATAAACCCTCCCAGCAGTGGGGCARGGTTAGCTGCAGTCTATCCACGAGGCAAGTGAAGAGCTTGTACACACCAGGCTGCTGAGAGCTACAGGCATTATACCTGCTGCAGAGGAGAAGAGATATGTATTCTGTCTCACCTCCCTTGTCCGTGGAAGAAGCAGTATGAATTTACTGCATGGGATATGGTCTCAGAAGAGTTTTTAACAGCTGCGTGGAGCATATTTGTTACTTAATTGTGTAGTCTTACCCTGTGCAAGATGCAGTGGCTTCCGTGTGTTTATATCGGGGAGAGAGCATTTGCAGCGTGTGCCACCCTGCAGGCGGGTGTTTTCTCYGTCCCGCTGTCCGGAAGGGTCACACAGCCCTGCGTCCCATGTGCTTAGAAAGAGCTTTGGAGAAGGGTGAGTGTGCCTGATGGTGGTGTTAGTTCTGTGTGTAAGAACAGTAACCTCTCCGGCACGCAGAGGAGGCAGTGCCCGAGCCGAGGGACAGKGGAAGAGCCTCCGTAGTGAATGCACTCCACAGCAGCTCAGCATCTGCCGTGTTGTGAGCATTTCCCAGCTCTCCTCCGGTGTGACACAGCCCGGCACAGCTGCGGAACCGTAACCGTGTCCTTTCTCCTCTCCCGACTTTACTGACGGCCGGATCCAGCGCTACATTCCTTTGGATAACGGAGYCGTAGTATCCAACTCCAGCTCTTCTGAGCTCCTAGCGCAGAGATACTGTGCGGGACTCAGCATACTGGGAAATTGAGGGAGGGGAGAGAAATTGGAGCTAACAATGATGTAGTTGTAGACTTCTTCACTCTGCTCTTGGAGCTATTTTGAGTCGGGAAAACAACGGAAAGAGCTTTGCTCGAAGGGGTGTCACCGAGAAGGCACAGTAAAAAGTTGCGGTTTTATTAGCGTACTATGAACAATGGAAAAATAAGTGTATACAGCAGCCGTAGAGCCTGAGTGTGTCAAAGCATCTTTATTATTTCAGAAGGAAAAAGGGCCATACAGCAGTAGCGACACAGAGAATTAAAGCAGAATCCTTGAAAAATCATTAAACGTACTTYAAGCACTATTAMGAGTTGCAGACCATATCCAAAACAACCACCGTCACAAACAAACAACCCCTCCCCCTCTAAAAATGCAAAACACCCACAACTCACTCCCCGCCCCGCAATCAGCTAGCAAAGGACAAACGGCAGGGTCAGAGTTCCGGGGGTAGGTGAACCGCGGGCGGGGCAAATGGGAACACGAGGTACAAATCCTTTATGAAAGTGACTGTACGGGTCTGCTCGGGCACCGG